TCTTTCGAAGCTGCCTTCCTATGGGCTTCCCGAGAAATTGTGCAATTGGATCACCAGTTTTCTTGCAGATTGGAGCATCAAGGTCGTAGTAGACGGTGCATGCTCCGATTACAAGCCCATTAACGCTGGTGGTACACAAGGCTGCGTGCTATCACCAACGCTATTTCTTCTGCATATCAATGATATGTTACAAACCAGTAACATTCATTGCTATGCAGACGACAGCACTGGTGATGCCTTATACACCGGCCGTGCCAATATTTCTCGGGAAAACGTCGCCGAGTACTGGAACAAACTTGTGTCTGAAGTCGAGACTTTGTTGAACAAAGTCTCAGACTGGGGGCGACTAAATCTAGTCCAGTTCAATCCCCCAGAAGACACAAGTTTGCGCGTTTACCGCTAAAAAGAATCCCTTTGTCGTATCTCCTCAGTTTCAAGGCACTCCCCTTGTTGCCTCAGCCAGTATCGGTATCCTCGGTGTCGACATATCGAGTGACGTGCAGTTTCGTGGTCACTTGGAAGAGAAGGCCAAATTGGCCAAATTGGCCAAAAAAAAAGCTTGGCGTGCTTAGCAGGGACAGTATTTCATGCGGGCGCACCGCTTGCAACTTTACAAGGCGCAGGTTCGGCCTCACATGGAATACTGTTCCCATCTCTGGGCTGGGGCTCCCCAGTGCCAGCTCCTTCCACTTGACCGCATCCAGTGCAGAGCGGTTCGAATCGTCGATGACCGAGTTCCTTCCGATCGGCCTGACTCACTGGCACTGCTTAGAGATGTTGCATCTCTGCGTATTTTATCGCATCTACCACGGGGAGTGCTCTGAGGAATTGTTCGGACTAATTCCAGCCGCTCAATTTCACTATCGCACATCGCGACAAAACTCGCGATACCATCCATACCATTTGGATGATTGGCGGTCCACCACTGTGCGATTCAGAAGAAGTTTTCTCCCTCGCACAACTTCCTTGTGGAACCGATTACCACCAGCGATTTTTCCGGACCGATACGACTTAGGGACCTTCAAGAAAAGAGCCTACTCCTTTTTAAAAGGCCGGCAACGCATCTGCGATTCCCCTGGTGTTGCAGTTGTTCATGGGCGGCGGTAGTCACTTACCATCAGGTGAGCCGCATGCTCGTTTGCCCCCTCTCCTATAAAAAAAGCAATTTATGCCGAACCCAGCAAGTGCGAAGTTCATGGAGCTTCATGCCCGGAAGGAGAGCCGCGTACAGGAGTTCCTGTCTACGCCCGCGACACCGCTTGCAGGAGAGTGGTTCATCTCCCCCACCAACTGCGGAGGACAGTAACGCGCTTGCAACTGAGGAAGGTGCCGGGGCACGACTGGAAAACCAACGCTGCACTCTGACAGCTGCCCAATAGAGTACTTGTAGAGTTGGTCGACTGTACAACGGTATACTGCGGACATTCCACTTCCAGAAGGACTGGAAAATCGGCAAAGTGATCGTAATGCCAAAACAGGGAAGGACAGGCGTAGAGCAGCCAGTTATAGGCCGATCACGCTGCTACCGCACATAGCTAAACTGTTCGAAAGATTGTTGCTAAGAAGCGTCCGCCCGTGCGTACAACTTCGGGCGGAACAGCACGGATTCAGGAGGGACCACTCGACAGAAACACAGCTGACCAGGGTGTTGCACTACCTTGCGGACGAGCATAACCCCCGCCGCACATCGTTGGGTGTCTTTCTGGACATAGAGAAGGCGTTTGACAGGGTGTGGCACCGGATTACTTTATAAACTAGGAAGTGTAAACAAGTATCCCTCCTGCTATGTTGCGGCTAGTGGCGTCATTCCTTACAGATAGGAAGTTCTACGTCTGTGTAGAGGACGCGGAGTCCGCAGCGAGATCTATAAGAAGCGGCGTGCCACAGGGCAGCTGTCTGTCGCCGATCCTGTACGCAGCTTATGCCAATGACATCCCAACCCTGGCAGAACACCTGCGCGAATGAGAGGACGATGTAGAGCTGGCGCTATACGAGGACTATAGTGTCTACTTCACATCGTCAAGAAGAGCCCACATAGTCACTGCCAGGATGCATGCCTGCTGGACCTGCTGCCACCATGGCTGGACGAGTGGAGGATGGCCGTCAATGTTGACAAGACGACCGCTCTGCTCACACGCCGCTTCAGGAAACTCCCACCACCTTTGACGCTCAGGGGCCTAGAGATCAAGTACGAGAAGGCCGAAGGCCACATGACCACCTTAACAACTTCGCACCACTACATGCTCGGCCCCCGGACGGGCGACCTCTACCAAGAGAACTCATCTCTATAGAGATTAGAGAGTCGAGTAACAACCCTCAAATGTCGTAGATAGGCCAACTTTGACACTTTTGAAACAAACTTGCTGCGCGACAGGGGAACCGAACCCCGGACCGCTGCGTTACCTACAATGCCATAACTGCTCCCACGAACAGTGCATAGTTATGTATTGCGAGGAGATTCCGGGCAATGGGGGATGCCCTGAGGCCCGAGACCTGCTGTGTGCTAAATAGCACACAAGCAGACAACAACGTACGGAAACTTGTTCAAGACCAGCTACATCTACCAGTTTTATAGTTTAAAGCAAGAAAGAAGAAGGCAAGACGGAAGTAATAGGAAAGTAGTAAAAGTTTCAACGTTGCACTCTTATGGGGAAATTACGAAGATAAAATTACTTTTTAATTTCCTACTGCACCTTCCAAATTAGATGAAGATACAGTATACTTAAAGGACGTTAAGACCGGGACCACTCCAGAGGGACCCGTGATCTTAGTCGTCTAACCTTTCTTTTCAAAAAGGGCAACAGACGTTCTTGTGTGACTCCTTCACGGGGGTCACGTCCACCTCGTTGTTCCCAAACCCAACGTGGTGTGATTTCTGTTTCTTGGGGTAGAACATCGATGAATGCCTAACCCCTGTCTGTTGGACCCTTTCTGTTGGCTCTTCGCTGCCGGATTGACGCCGAGCGACGGACTGGGCCCTTTCAATAAATTTTTTGTATGATTTAATATATTATACAATATCCATACAAAGTTTGAACTAAATCCAGATGTAGTAAGAGTTGGGGCTTGAAGTACCATACATAAAAAACATATGAAAGTAAGGTCTATGAAATAAAACAAATATGTGTGTGGAAGATCTCAAATATGTAAAGGCATTATATAGATCGGAATGGGACTTGAAATAGATTATTATAGTGTCGCTTAGTCTGCCTTATCGAACCGAGACCGCGGTAAACAGTGGACTCGATAACATATGTCCTACGCATGTCGAAGTGCTGATGGTGAGCGGGTTTGTTGTAGCAATACGGCTTGCTCGTGGACATTGTGCATCCCTACCGATTGTGCGCGGCGTCTTAGCTTGTTGCGTTATGATACATAGGCTGCACTAAAAGTTTCGGGAATGGAATATTTCCACTGTTCCTGTCATATTAAAATGTTTTTAATTGAAAATTCCTTGGTTTTTTAAAATTGAATACCATTTATTTATTTAAAAAAAGATTCTTGGCCTTGTCACAAGGTTTTGTCAAACTTGTTTAGTCGTTGAGAAAATGGAATTGACTCGAGAAAATTCAAGAGCGATGATTTATTATGACTTTCGAAGTGGTTTAACACAAAAACAGTGTGTTGACCGGATGATTTCTGCATTTGGTGATGAAGCCCCATCCAAAACCACAATTTATCGCTGATTTGCTGAATTTCAACGTGGACGTGTCAAGCTCAGTGATGATCCCCGTCAAGGTCGTCCAAAAACTGCAGTCACCCGAGAAAACGTTGATGCTGTGCGTAAGCTGATTGAGGAAGATCGACATGTGACATACCGCGAAATTCAGGCAACTTTAGACATTGGCATGAGTCAAATACAAATAATCTTGCATGAACAATTAGGTGTAAAATAGTTGTTTTCCCGATGGATACCGCATTCGCTCTTGAGGGACAAAGAACGGTTAATGCAGAATGGTATGCTAGCATTTGTTTGCCACAGGTCGTTTCTGAACTCCGTAAAGAGAACTTCAACCGCCGCATCATCCTCCATCACGACAATGCGAGTTCTCACACCGCACACAGAACAAAAGAGTTTTTAGAGCAAGAAAACATAGAATTATTAGACCATCCGCCGTACAGCCCCGACCTAAGCCCTAATGATTTCTATTCTTTCCCTAAAATAAAGAATAAATTGCGTGGACAGAGATTTTCATCACCTGAAGAAGCTGTGGACGCCTACAAAACGGCCATTTTGGAGACCCCAACTTCTGAATGGAATGGTTGCTTCAATGATTGGTTCCATCGTATGGAAAAATGTGTCAAATTTCGCGGAGAATACTTCGAAAAGCAATAAATACATTTTTAAATAGTAATGTTGTGTCACTTCCTTGATTCCCGAAATTTTCAGTGCCGCCCTCGTATTATCTTTGTTTATTAATCTCGAGGACAAGTTAACAATATACTTAAATGTGATATATTTTTTTATACAGATTTTTTTTTGGAGTTTATGGCCTGGTATCTAGACCTTTAGGCCAAGTCTTAAGTATTTTTATTCGGTTTATTGTAATTTCCCCACTCCTTCATAGTATACTGCTTCACAATATGTTGATGCGTCACATTGTGCAGTTCTTGGGAGATTTTGGCGGCAACTTGATCCAGCAGACAGCTGATAGTTGGCGATGGTATCTAAAGGTGGCTATGCAAACAAACAGCTTATCTTGAGAATCCATCACCATCAGAGCACTTGTTTCACTGTTTCCACTAATAGTTCACATGCGTAGACACTTAATACACAAAATCGCAACACTTTTACATATCAAAGTCCACTTCAAACCATTATTTAAACAATAATACAGGAGCAGCAAACCGCCGCCGGTCAATTTCCCGCCAAAACTCCCCTTTTTTATACAGATGAGTTGATTTGTTGCAGATAATAAGAATTTCACTATAGAACACATAGACTTTACCATATTTATTATCTTATAAAATTGTTACAAAAATTAATATTTTTATTACAGGTGAAGATATAAATAATTCACTTTGTCAACGATTTTATAATGACGCCCTCACAGTATCCTTCACCAAAATATTAACAGATGATGCAGTATCCTCATGGAAAAACAATATACAGCAATGTGTTCGCTCAAATTGCGAGAAACTTGTGAAATTATGTGCTATGAAATTAGATGATCCAAGATTCCTGCATCTACTCTCATTGGCATTTAATCCAAATAATAAGTAAGGAATAAAAAAAATATGTTATTTATGTTAACTTTAAGTTAAATCTGTAAGACTGTACATTCATCATTACAACCCTTCACAAGTCCTCTGTTGAACATAGGTCTCACCTGAGAAATGCAACAAAGTCTAATAACGGCTGTACACGCTCGTCTCGTCGCCTCGTGTGCCTCTCTTCGCGTAGAGGTTCGACACGAGAGCACACCATGTACACACTCGTTGTATCACTTGAACTCCGGATGCCCACTGCGATGGACGTAGAAGAAACTGTTGCTGTGTTTTGTTTTTGCTATTTTTTATTATAATTTTTTACATATTTCAAATAAAAAGAAAATTAATAAGCCATGGTGGATGGTTTCTATTCACTGTAACAGAACCTCGTAAGTTCCTATATTGTATTTAACAATATTGAACCATTTTTTTTGATAATTTTTATAATTAAAAGAAAACGAACGAGTGTGTACAGGCGCGCTCTCGTTTTCATCGCGAGACTCACGAGACCCTTTGACTTGAGCGCAAAAAACCGACATGCTTCCGAGAGCGAACGAGGGCCGCGTGACGCGACGCGAGGTGACGAGGGCACCATGTACACACTCGTACTCGGCCTGTCTCGTGGTGCCTCGACGAGCTTGTACAGCCGCCATAAAAATCTACTGACTTTCTGCATGTTTCATCAAGTCTTCACTCTTTCTAGAAGGGTCATCCAACACTGAGCTTACCACTACGAGGCTGCCACGATTTTTGTGTCCCATCAGTTATCAGTTCTTCAAACTATAAGCCAATTGCCTTTTCTACCGACTTCAAAAAGGGGACGGTACTCAAATCGACTGTATGTTTTTTATGTGTGTTACCTCATAACTCTTTACCCACCTATTCACCCAGATCCTATTTCGATGATTCTTTTTTTATTTGAAAGCTGGTGCTTCACATGTGGTCCAATATAAATTTGATTAAGGTCTGACCAATAGTTTTTGAGTTATTCCTAATAATTTATATTGAAGTCGGTTGTATAAAATTTTTAATTTTAAATTATTAGTGTACAGATCTGCTTGGCTATGTCAGCTACTCTTGTCCTTCTGCAGATTTAAAAAAAAAACTATTTTTAAATCCAGTTGTGCATGCCTTAAGCGTTTAAATTTTTTAAAGTAGTTCAAATTCACACAAGTTTTCACTAATAATCTTATTAGGTATTATACTTATAATTTTTCGATAATCAAAGCTCGAAGTGAGTGAGTGAGGCATTTAGTACAATAAATTATTACAAGGCTGCTCAAATCATCGAAAATTTCGTGATTTCTCGGCCGAAAAAAACTATATATAACTAAACGAAACAAAACTAAACCGCCATTTACATTACATGACTTCCCATATGATATGTGAAGAGATTAAAAAATTGATTGAGTTGAACAATTGATGTTTTCAAAAGTTATCGTGTTTACCCCCCCATGCGGACTAGATAAATCTACAACATAAGTCACTAAAACCAATTTATCGATTTAAAAAAATTAAATGAGTTCAACAATCCTTTTTCTCTTTCTGACATTGTCAGCTTTTTGTATCATTCATATGTTCAATATGATTGTTAGATACGATTTTATGCGACAAAATGTTGAAATCTTGATTTATAGGCGCTAGTAGAACATAACTACGCGCTTCGCGCTTAAGGCATGCAATATATAGAAACTGAGTAAACCCCTTTCCATAGCTACCTGTGTGACATTGAGCTTCCTCATATGGCCAGCAGTGAAGGTTCATGTTTTGGTCATCACTAATGTAACATACACTGATCATACACTTATGTCCTAAGATGAAGACTGAAACATTATTGTTTTTAATTACAGATTTCACACATTTAATGCCTCTCGAACCTGTGAAGGCTTATCAATTACACAGAATATAACAAATACAGGGCAAGGTTCTTTGCAAGAACCTGAGATTTTTGCTAGATCACAGGACCACAGAACACCAAGAGGATGGCTGGTTCACCTCATTAATGTGTATGTAGTAAGCATTTTTGTATAATATTATTGTACTCGTATAATAGTTATATGTGGTATAGCCATGCTGCAGCTATATAGTTGTATCACGAATGGGTCGGCTCAACCAGGACCACACTGTCGCAAAACACTAGCTTAAAATAGTAACTACTTAAAGTTGCTGTGTTTTGTATGGTGAATATATGGAACCGGAGACCAATTTTTATATTTATTTCTTCCGGAAACGAAGCATTCCATCTTAGTCCTCAGGGGTAACAACATATCTGCATTTTTATTCTTAATCGGGGACAGATGTAGATGTCTATGGACCGCAGTACATATTTAATTAACATCTCTTGAGCAATATTTTCATTTGTTGTTACTTTTAAGTTGTATATATATCTATAACATAAGATATAACATATAAATACATTTTTTTTTATTTTAGGTTTGGTCAGGCTGGTGGTTTTATAAAACTAAGAGAACGGTTTGAAGCTATAATGGGTTTTCAAAAGTCTGATTTAACTATGTCTGTAAATAGTGAAGAAAAAGTTTCTTGTGAAACATCTGAAAAGGAATATGAAGGAAGTATTAAGGTGGATGTGACAGAAAATTTACCATTTACTACTGAAAATACTGAGGTAAATAATTTTCTTTTATATAGAACAACAACTCAAAATCTAATTATGTACTTATGTTTATTTCATCTGAGCTAAATTAAACTTTCTAAACATGTGATTAACTACTTTTAGAGTACAATATCATCAAAAAGTGAACCATTTTCTTCACTGGAACAGTCTATAAATGGTGAGACACGGGTTGCTGCAGTGTGGCAACTTTTGAGACCTTTAAGCCTTTGTCATGACTTACTGACTCCTCACACTGTCACCACATACCTTTTGCCTGTTTTGGTAAGAATTTATTTTAAAACTTTAATGATAAAATTATAGAAAAAGGCTTATCTATTTCAAAATTAATGGTAATTAATTATATAGGAATGTATCCCTACACTTTTGGAAAGTTTGACTGACGATGAACTGAAAAGAGAAGCAAGAGGTAGTGAGAATAAAACAGATACTGTTTCTTGTTTGATTCGGGCATGCAAGTGTGTGTCAATAAAAACTCCTCAACATCACAGTCTTCTTAAATGTAAGTATTATGATAAATGTTTTAGTGATTTTGGGAAAAAGTTTATGCTGGATATAATTCCTTTTTATTGTCATAACTCACTTATCTTATAATTATTCATAATTTTAGTAAAAAAAGAACTTTGAATAAATATTGCAATTTTATAGAAACAGAAGTAGGTAGAATTAAGAATGGAAACAGATTTTTTTTTAAATTCAATATAGTGTTGATATAAATAATATTTATTGAATGTTATATGTTAAATTGAAGAACCAGCTAGAAACCTAGCGGGACTCTTTTATTAATAAAACAAATAGTTTACTATCATGTATCAGGTTGTACAATTGACTATACATGTCACATTAGAATTAGTTTGATGTCACATTAGATGACAATAATCCGTGAGAATGAGATGAACACTACCATCTCATTCCCAGAGGTTGGTCATTCATAAATTCCTTCATATTATAATAATCCTTTTTATACAATACTTGCTTAATAAAGTTTTTAAACTTGGCGATGGACACTCTTTGTATATATTTTTTTAAACTACTTAATTTTTGTACATTTATTATATTTTCATAAATGTATTGAGAGAACAGTTTATATTTTATATTTCGATAGCTCTTATGGCCCTCTTCTGCTAAACAATTACAATTTTAGTGTCAGTTGCATTTTCCTATGGCAAAATACCATAGGACATTATCCTATGAAAATATCTAAAATAAAGCTTATTCAAAAAATATTTATCTCAGATTTTTGTTATTTATTATATAGTTAAATTATATATTTTTTATATTCGATATCAATGGCTAACACCAAAATATTGCTTTATGTTTTTGTTCAGGCGCTACTCTAAAAAAATAAAAAATGCCTATTTATCTACAAAATTCGTAAATGCATGTAACTAAATGACGATACAATAGTTATGGGATGTATCTAAGTGACCTTTATCCGAACGTTAAATGTGAATAGCGATTTTTGGTTTCGGTGCGAGAAGTTATCGAATCCGAGTCGATTTCGCTTTCCGAGACGATTGTGAATAGCCCGGCTGATTTTGCGATTTTATTTTTTAGCACTTAATAAACATATACTTGTTTATATGGAATGTACTACTACTAATATTACTAGTGGTGATATTTAGACACCATGATTATGGCAAATCCTTGTAATGGAAATCATAGATCCATTAGTTAACTATTTATAGGCTTGATTAAGATGTAATTTTTATTTTTTCATTATTATTTTTTGTACAATAACATTCAATGTTATATCACTGCTCAAAGGTTGTCTGGTAGGGAATGTTTTTAGCATTAAGTCCACACAAGTCTATTAAGAATTAAGTGAATAAATATGATAAAAACTTGCTGTAATTTCACCTTTATAAAGAAGCCATTTAGGCAATTTGCTAATTCTTATTTATTCGTACTTCATTAATGTGTTTAACTTACTACGAGGGTGGATTGAAAAGTACTCGGCCTAACACAGATCCATTCAATTCTAAAAATCAAATCTACCCACATTATTTAGTTCAGTTCAGACTAGTTCATTGTGTGAAGTTCGAAACGTGTGCGATAATTAGTTGTGATTTTATAAATTTATTAACAAAGTAATCAGACATAATTTCCGCGAATGGAGCAAATCGAGCAGCGTGCCGTCATTAAGTACCTCCATAAGAAGGGGCTATCATCAAAAGCCATCCATGATGACATGGTCAGTACATTAGGCGATTGTGCTCTGTCATATTCATCCGTCAAAAAATGGATAGCAGAATTTAAGCGTGGTAGAGAGAGTGTGAAAGATGAACCCCGCTCTGGAAGGCCTTCGACGTCAACTACTGACGAAAATATTAAAAAAGTACTTGATTTAATAATGGGAGACCGCAGATTAAAAATTAGAGAGATAGCCGAGATTATAGGCATCTCTTATGAACGAACTCAAAACATCATTGTCAACGAGTTGGGTTTCCACAAGGTGTCTGCGAGGTGGGTTCCGCGACTGCTTTCAGTTGAACAAAAAAGGACGCGATTGACTATTTCACGCGACTGTTTGGAGTTATTTGAAGCCGATGCAGATGATTTTTTGAATCGTTTTGTTACTATGGACGAAACATGGGTTCATTACTGTACACCGGAAACAAAACAACAATCAAAACAGTGGAGAAGACCTGGTTCACCATCCCCTAAAAAGGCTAAGTCGATTTTGTCGGCAAATAAGGTGATGGCTTCAGTATTCTGGGACTCGAAAGGTGTGATTATGATTGATTATCTTGAAAGGGGTCAGAATATAAACTCTGATTACCACTGCACCTTACTACGTCGTTTACGAGAGGAAATAAAAGAAAAACGTCGAGGAATGCTCAGAAGAAAAGTCCTGTTTCATCAAGATAACGCCCGTGTTCACACGTCAGTACAGTCAATGGCTGAAATTCACAACTGTGGCTTTGAACTGTTACCGCATCCGCCGTATTCACCTGATCTGGCACCATCAGACTTCTTTCTGTTCCCTAACCTAAAAAAGCACTTGGGAGGTCAAAATTTTCGACAAACGACGAGGTCAAAGCAGCTGTAGACGCATATTTTGACTCTAAGGAAGAATCATTTTTTTTCAACGGTCTAAATGCTTGGAAGGGGAGGTGGCAAAAGTGTATTGAACTTGATGGTGATTATGTAGAAAAATAAAAATATAACTGATTTAGTATGTTTTTATTTTCTTGGTTAGGCCGAGTACTTTTCAATCCACCCTCGTACATTTATCAATCTAGTTTTTCCACCTCGTGATAAATAAATCTATAATCTAAAAGATATAACTACACAACACATACAAAAATAAAACTGATTTCATTATCATATTATGTTTTGTAAAATTTGGGATTTTTGTTGACAACTTGACGATAAATAGCCACTATTCTCTTTTTTAATGGGTGTGACCATTAAAAAGGAGTATAGTGGCTAACTATTTATCGTTATAATTAAGTACTTTTATATTTTATTACCTAGCATATTGTGTATCTTTGAGTTTTTATAAATTGTATCGATAAGCTGTTTGCGAAATAAAAACTTTGAAGAAAGAAAAGAAAAACAAGTTATGGAGATGGTTTTGTTGCACACCCTGTAGCTGCTTAGGGGCGCAGTCTTACGTCCGCCCCTGTGCTGCTACATTGTATGTGACTATGACTGTTTGTCTTCACTGGTGTTCTGCAAAATATTCTGCGGTTTTCATATACTTTCGAACATGGTATTATTGATTGTTTAGGAATGGCTGTGTCATATTTTGTTCCAAATAATTTTGTTTATTTTTATGTAAATATGTTCTTGTAAATTTTAAATATTATAAACCTATTAACCATTCTTTAGCACCATTTGTTCATCGAAATTAATGAAAAATATTATTTCAGCATTAGAAATGTTTCGGCTGAAAATGATCTTAAGATTACTTCAAATGTCATCATTTAATGGTAAAATGTCTGCGCTAAATGAAATCAACCAGTTAATAAGTACAATCTCACAACAGCCAAAACCGGAATGGCTTACACCTGCTGTCATAACCGTAAGTAGCGTGTTTCTTCTGTTTATTTATTTTGTTATAATTTAGTGTTATAATTTTAAACTAACTTATTGGTTTTCTTAATTTTAACAGAATTGGATTCGGGAAAATAAAGTCGTAGACATAGTCCTACGCGATTCACTTCATCAGCCCCAGTATGTGGACAGATTAGAAAAAATGTTAAGATTTATGATTAAAGAAAATTCCTTAACCAGGGAGGATTTAGATGCAATATGGAAAGGACAGCAAGGCAAACATGAGGCTATTGTAAAGAATCTTCATGACCTTCTCGCTAAACTTGCATGGGACTTCACTCCTGATCAACTGGACCACCTTTTTGACTGTTTTAAGGTTTGTTGATTGTTTTTTTAGACCTTAAAAAAGGAAGTGATATTGATTAGGTCTACAAAGATACATTTACCTTACTGACCACACTTGGCAGGCGAGTTGTTCATTGCAGCCCAGATATTTCACACCTTCGATGCTGCTTCTTATCGCTGGTTTTCTCATTCTTCGTACCCATTTTTTTGCTTGGGTGCCCGAAAAAAGTGATTATGGGAATTGAAAGATCTCATGGCTTCTCACAGTAGATGGATATAGAATATCCTAAACAGCAATGGGAAGCAGTATTAAAGCTGTAAGACATTTGGCAGTGCAGTCAATAGTTAATTTTTAATAGTTAATTTTTAACACGAAATGTCAAAATATTTTTTATAGCTTTAGGATGGGTGACAAGCGAGCACACAGTTCACCAGATGGTAAATGGTTGCTGCGTTCCATAGACATCTACATCTATCCTCGTTTGCGAATCAAAATGCAGATGAGTTATCAGCCGTGAGGACTAAAATGATATGCCTCTTTTCCAGTAAAAAGGGTCTCCGATTCTCAACACTCACCATACGAAACACAGCAGCATTAAGCTGGTATTCTGTGAGAGCGTGGTCCTTCCTCGGTCGATCCGACCCTTTCGTGCTACAACTATACAATTAACATAGCTGCAGCAATGGCTCTACCGCATATATACTTTTGCATGCCTTAAGCGAAAGCGCAAGGTATGTTCTACTATCGCCTAAAAATTAAGATTCCAACGTTTTATCGAATGAAATCGTATCTAGCAATTATACATATAAAAAGCATATTGTTAGAAAGATAAATGCTTGTTGAACTTATTAATATACTTTTTAAATCGATTAATTGCTTTTTTAAATAAAAAAAGGGGTTTTAGTGGCTTCTGGTGTGGATTTATCAAGTCCGCAAGGCTTGTAAACACTATAACTTTTGAAAATACCAATTGTTTAACTCAATCTATTTTTTAATCTCTTTATCTATCATGTGGGAACCCACTGAATGTAAATGGCAGTGTAATTTTGTTTTGTTTAGCTATAATTAATTTTTTTCGGCTCCAAAATGGCGATATTTTCTTTGATTTGGTAGTCTTGTATGTAAATTATTTCTGTAAATAGGCGGAAGCCGCACTCTGAGCTACAGCCACAGAGTACTTTACTCAGTCAGTTCGGCATCAGTCGCCGTCGTGAGTGGACTTTGTTTCGGTTGTTTGCAGCGGCTCAAAAAGATCGCTGTACAAATACACAATATTCGAATAACCAAATTTCTTAAATACTTGATTATTATAATAATGAGAGATTTTTTTATTACAATATTTTAAAAGCACAGAATAAATAATAGTAGTACGTACTAAAAGTAAGTAGTATGAATTTTTTTGTCATGGGTGTCATTTTCATGGTTTTCGAGGGTGTTGAAGCCAATAGTGCTGTCGAAATGTAAATCCAAGATGGCAGCTGAATTTGGTACCAATTTTTTCATCTTGGGTGTCATTTTCATGGTTTTCGAGGGTATTGAAGCCGATAGTGCTGTCAAAATGTAAATCCAAGGTGGCGGCTGCAATAGGTATCAATTATTTCATCATGGTCGTCATTTTCATGGGTTTCGAGGGTGTTGAAGCCGATAGTGCTGTAGAAATGTAAATCCAAGATAGCGGCTGAAGTAGGTACCAAGTTTTTCATCATGGGTGTCATTTTCATGGTTTTCGAGAGTGTAGAAGCCGATAGTGCTGTCGAAATGTATTTAAACTACTTTAAACAATTCCGTATAATCATGTTATGCATGTTATGGCAGGCATGCCCAATTGAATTTACCAATTTTTTTTTAATACTTTTATTTAGTTTATATTGATGTAATCTTTACGTTTAAAACAGGCCAGCTGGGCGACCTCAAGTAAGAAACAGAGTGACAAATTGTTGGAAGTTATACGGAGACTAGCAGAAGATGATAAGGATGGTGTTATGGCAAATAAGGTATCACTCAACCGGACTGAAAACCGGTGTTATCGTCACTGAGACCAGTCCATTTCACAGCCTTATGTAGCAGCCTTTTTTTAACAAATTATTATTATCTCATATTTAACACGTGGTTAACTTTAATTTTGTTGTTATTTTTATTTTTCTGTATCTTTTTCTATACATTATATTTTTTGAGTTGTTGAAAAAATGCAATTATCCAATAAGTATTGTGTAAACAGATAAATTCATTTACATTTTATTTTTGTGACTTGCAGGTATTAGTTCTTTTTTGGAATTTGGCACATTCGGATGAAGTTTGCACTGAGATAATGGATGTAGCACTAGCTAATCTCATCAAAATTTTGGACTACAGTTGTAGTCAAGATCGAGACGCTCAGAAAACTCTTTGGCTGGATAAGTTAGTAATTTATTTATATTATTTTAATGATTTTGTTTACTTGAGAATATGTTATAGAGGTGTTTAATTTTCAGATGTGTAGAGGAGTTAAAAAATAATGAGAGATGGGTTTTACCAGCGTTGAAGATGATGCGTGATATATGTAGCCTATACGAAGCGGGTGGTGGCACGGGTGTGAGGCCGCACGTTACCCGCCAGGAGCTGATAGACCGATTGCAAACCCAGCATTCACTTGTAATTCTAGTCACTGATTCTCTCACACATTATATGGATGGGGTGCGAAATAAGCTCCTTGGTTTGTAAATTTTTATTATAATAAGTAAGTGAGACGGCTCCGTGGCACAGTCTTAACAGTGGTAGAGCGCGGCAGCTTTTGCTGTCGCACGGATGGGCCGACTCGAACCGGGGTGGTACCACGACCTCACAGAAAACCAGCGTGAAGTAGAGTTTTACCTCTGCGTTTCGCTTGGTGAGTGCAGGTGGCCGGAGGCCCTTTTTACTGGAAATGAGGCATTCCATCTTAGTCCTCACGGGTGACAACGCATCTACATTTTGATTTGTAATAGAGGATAAATGTAGATGTCTATAGGCCGCAGCAACCACTTACCATCAGGTGGACTGTGTGCTCGTTTGTCACCCTTATCTTATAAAAAAAAAACAGTGGCTTAGCAATGAGTTGCTGCGCTGGGGGCCGCGGGTTCGAATCCCGCACGGAACAAGTATTTGTATGGCCTACAAATAATTGTTCCGGGTCTGGATGTTTGTACTTGTGCAATTTGTGTTTGTAACTGCCTCCACGATACAGGAGAAAATCTTAGTGTGGGGTTAACGTCTTTTTAATACACTGATAAAAAAGTATATTATTTTTAATGGAATTTATATTATAAGTTCAATTATATTTTAGAGGAAGGTGAGATCGATTGGGAGAATTGGCTTCCTGATGGCAGGTACCCACATGCAGCGCAGGTTCAAGAGCGGCTGAGTTTTCTCAGATTCTTACTTAAAGATGGACAGTTGTGGTTATGTGCTGAACAGGTGAGAGAACGACAATTAGTCCGAATAATTTAGTCAATGATTAAATTAAATGTCAAAGGGTGGCAGCTTTTCTCTTCCCTTTTATAATTTTCATTTACTGGATATGAGACGGGTTGTAATCTTTTGATAATGAGTCTAAGTGACTGTTATAGCCTGTTGCATTTTTGTATGCGTAACAATCCATAAAAAAATTGTGGCTTAAAAGGAGTGTTTCATGTACCTATGTTATATATCTGGCGGTAGAAATGGTTTCACAGTGGCAAGTTACAATTTTATCGATCATGGCAGCAATCTATTATAATATGAAATTCTTGGTAAAGAACCTGGTGCCAACGGTTAAAACTATTCTTACAATAATAATTATGTTATTTAATGTAGATATCATGTTATTTTTTGTTTGTTATTGTATAATACAATACAATTACTTATAAAATCATTATTTTTTAGGCTAAGCAAATATGGATATGCCTTGCAGAAAGGCCAGCACATCTAGGAGACCGCGAGGCATGTTTTAGGTGGTTCAGCAAGCTTATGGGAGAAGAACCTGATCTTGATCCAAACATTAATCTGCACTTTTTTAGGAGAAATATTATGACCTTACCCCCAAACTTACTAACCCATTCTGGTATTAAATGTTTCGAAAGGTGAGTCTACACTTATCAGCATTTATGCTCTATTTTATGTCAATGTCTTAATTTTTATTGACATTCAATTCATATTTTTATAGGTTTTTTAAAGCTGTTAATTCCAAAGAGGGTAAACTTAAAATTAAGCGACGTAGTTTTCTAATAAATGACGCTGATCTCATAGGATTAGATTATCTATGGAGGGTAAGGTTCTATAAAATTATTCATATTTATTTAAGAAATGTAACTATCCACATGAGTATAGAAACTGTACAGAGGCAAAGCTTCTAAGGAGCTGTCAAAATTTTTACCTATTTTGGTAGGGTTGGCACAGGAGGATAAAGTTAAATAAATTAAACCTTTATCAGCATTTTATATTTTATACTTAAGATATAATATTTTTGAAGTTATACTTCTTTTGGGGCGTTTGGGAAAAATTATGACAGTGAATTTTTACGATGCGCGCGCACACCGACACCTAAAAATTACACTATGAAGTTGTTACGATGCGCGCGCACACTGACACCTTAAAACGACAACTTCAGTGGGTAATTGTCTCTCAAGTTTTTTTGTTTTATTACGCTAAAGTATAACTTTCTATGTGCGTACATAAGTAGACACACTTGTTTTACAAACTGCGTATTCTAAATATTTTACTTTTATAATTATTGTTCTTCAAACATTTGTTGTGGTTTTTAATTAAATGGTAATTTCTAAATTTAATATTATTATTTATTATTATTATTATTATTTATTTATTAAGAAGAAACATAATATACAAATCACAAACAAATCAAATCTAACATAGCTTGGCGCAACTTTAAGTTTTTCGTAAAATGTAATTTGCTTAAACTCATTAGAAACCCTACATTCTGTACTGATTTTATAGAAAAAAACCGTATCATAGTAATGCAGTATTCTCCGTTATGAAAAATTAAACATTGTTACATCAACAGACTTATGCAATAAACAAATACAAAATTTGAAGGTAGATTGTGTTCTTTTTATACAAAATAATAAATGATTTTACTAAAACATAGTACATTCAAAACTTACCGATGCTTTGTTAATTCTTTTCCTATATATTTTTTTTTATTTTATTTAGGTATCTTTTCTAAATATTTGAATCAGTAACTATAATATATATAAAGTAATAAGTATATCGATCATTTCATATAGTTTAATTTATATAAAATGTGTATGGAGATTAACTGAATGTGAGATTCATTTGTACTTATACGCTAATATTAATATAATTAATGTATAATAAATATATACATAAATATAAATGGTGTGTTATGATTTGTAGTGTATGTTTTTCAATTCATGCTTAGGTTAACGACTTTAAGAGGTTTTCTGTTTCTTCGTAGTTCAGTTTTTTGAAAAAGGTATTTAAATGTTTTTTAAGTGATAAGTACTGTCTTTTTTTAATGTTTATTTGTTTATTAATTTTATTGTAAACTAGTGGACCAAGAAATTTATATAGTTCTTATTTAAATATTCTATTACAAAGCACTCGCATTTCATAACAAATATAAACTCTTGCACACGTTTTAATATTTCACTACCTACTTATATTTACAATAAGTATTCGCGAAATTTTTGCTCTAGTAATTCAACAAACGCGATAAAGTTGTCAGGAGGTACCTATTATATTGAAACCCGATTGAACACTATCTTTATCCTTGTAATGGCTGAAAAAAGAAGCTTTTCCCATATTTATAAGTTGTTCACATCTATTAACGTACAGTTTTATTTTCTCACATTTGTGGTGTTTGAGACAACATTTTCTATACAAATAGACTTAGACTAAAACCATTTTTTTCTGGTAAATAAAAAGATAATCATTTGTTGTTACTGTTAACACAGGGCAGTAAAATCGTCAGTTTGCGGTGATGTTGTATTAAAATACGGCAATCGTCTGGTTTCATAGGTTACATATGGAAATCCTATTCATATTTTATAGTATTTTGAGGTTTCCCTAAGATATTCGTTATAAACATCTTATTGAACGCAATACTAACTATTCGACAAGTTGGTTCCTGGCAGTTACCACCCGCCTGGTCTGACTTTTCCAAAGAAATTTTCGAGACAATTTTGATTGCGACGTCTCGTAAATATAAATTAATTTAATTTCTTCTGGTTTTAATTCTTCATAAAGTTTTATTAAAAATTTTATAGACATTTGGAATCCGTGAATGAAATTCATGCTATTTGTAACGTCATTCTGCCTATCACTTGTTATTGATTTTAAGTTCCTGAAAAATGTTAGCTTTTCTTCTAAAAACTCAATTTGGTAACTATTACATCAAAAAGCTCTTTTATATTTATTAGGATATCGTAGTGTACTTGAGTGTAAGAAATCAAACAAATTATTAATTTTATTTACCAAATCAGCGGTATCTCTTGCGGCAACCTCGATAAAATTTAAATCTATGCAGGAATTAGTAAACCATATTTACACTTTTTTATATTTCATTTGATACGAATTATTCTTAATCTTAAATATAAATAAAAAAATTATTAATCTTTATAAAACAAAATTTGACACTTATTATTTTTTACCCAACCCTGAGTTTGAGCACTGGCCGAGCTGGTTTAAAGCAGTTTCTCTCTGTACGTGACGAGCCACCAGTGCTCACGCACAAACGCGCCTCAAGCTTGTAGTAGTGTACCTATCACAGTGCGGTTGTATGAAGCTTTGCCTCTGTACGGCACGGATTCGTTAGTCATGTGTTTTCTTAAGTTGTCGTAAACATAACATAAAATATTTATTTTTTCTTATTACCTGCTATGATATAAGAGTTGGCTATCTTACATCCTGCAAAAATACAGGAAAATTGTTTTATATAAATTATTTTTTCTTTTATATATATGTATATATACACATATATATTTAGTATTTATGACTTTTGTATACTTTCAGGTAATAACGGAGTGTGATGACGACATATCGGCTCGTGGTATCGAGTTGCTGCGAGAGGTATGCACGTGTACGGGTCCACAGCTGTCGCCGGCTCACCACCACGAGTCGTTTCTCACGCAATGTTGCGCAAGAACACAGCGCTTGCAGAAAGAAATGGAGTTACAAGAGGGTAATTATTTTAACTAGATGTTTAATATTTCTTTTTTTTATTTAATTATTCGAAGAAACTTACAGCTCTTATGTCACATTTGAATGTAAGATGAATGTTAACAATACATTAGCCAGAACAGTTTCCAATGCTAAGAATTACATTGCGCAAACTTCAGACATAATTAAATTATGTTCATATTTGTGTTTTGCCAAAGAGAAAAATATACTTAATGCATAACTAATAGCAATGTTAGTAAAGGTAATTATATTCAAATAGAGAACAAGAAATACACCACACACCACCTAAGCGTGATCAACTTGCTTAATAGATGTAATATAACCATTTATTTTGCAGAAAAATAACGCTCATTATGTGTGTTGCTTGCAAACACGAACCAGAAATCGGTTTTTCGAATACTTAGTTCTGTAAAAAGGAGTAGAGAAAACTGCGTTGGGGCGAGCATTAACCTAGGGCATCTTAATGAAATATGACTTAGAAGGAAGGCGGAATCTATATAATTATGTAAAAGTTTAAACAGAAACACCTGATCTCTATGTTCACGCCGTAATTCTAAAGTCTGTTGTAGCGCAGAATGATCCTTAAATTTGTAACTAAGTCTTTACAGAAACTTATTTTGAATCCTTTCTACTTGTTCTACATAAGTAGCATAAATAGGGTTCCATACCGAAGATGGGTATTCAAGATGACTTCTTACTAAAGTATGGCACGTGTTTATGTTTTTGAAGTCTTAGTATTGTCGGAAGACAAAACCTAACATTCTATAAGACTTGGCAGTAGCCTTGTCAATGTGAGACGCAAAGTCTAGTTTATTATCGAGATATACTCCCAGGTCCCTCACTTCGGTCATTATTTTCATCAAAATGTTATTTAATTTATAATTGTAAACGAGGTTGTGCGAGGTAGCTGTGTGGTGCGAATATGCGTAGCGAGCTGTGGAACGGTGAGAGCGTTCCACCAGAGATGTGCTGTGAAACGGTGCACAGATGAGCGTTGCGAGGATATGTAGTGGGTTCGTTTCAGATGCGAGCGGGGTGAGGTGTGGTGGGAGTGGAGCACTCGCACACATCCCTCGCACGCAATAGTAAGAAGTATACTGTCCTTGATGTATGGCACATAAATTTCTTGACTCAAAATGTTTTAATTTGGGCCAAAACCACCTAAACTAGGACTGAACATGAAAATTATAATAAATTCTTTTGCATTTTTACTTTCAGATGCAACAGAAACGTGTACAAAAATGTGTAGAGTAATTCGTGCCATACAAGAATATATAAACGAATGTGATAGAAGATTTCCGGCTGACCGACAAATATTACCAATTTATAGATCGGGTAGAGGCCGTCAATGTACTATAATAGTCAGATTTAATTTTCAAACAGGCCAAAGACAAATCGAAGACATTGAATTGTTTTCACATTCTAATGAGACCTTACACTCTTTACGGACTGCAGTTCAAAGAAGGTAACGTAGAAGTAACAATGTAATGTTTTAAATTAGTAAATGAATATTATTCTCAGTTTCATTCTTGTATTTTAGGATAAAATGTGCTTCAGACAGCAACATAAAGTTAGAAATGTACGTAAATAAACTAGAGCTTTATGTTAATGGAGAAATTTTAGATACGTCCCATGATAGAAAAATTCTTTCCCAAATTCCACTACGGGACAAAACAGTGATTGTGGCGAAGGTAATTTAACTTGTGACTAATTCAAGTATTGTGTATATTTATGTTTTACCAATTATTTACTTATTCATATTATCAGGTTTATGACGGTCAGGTCTGCGGTAGTGGTGGTTGCGGATCTTCAAATGAATCTAGCAGTGATTCTAGTACATCATCACCACCGTTACCACCGACCCCGGAACACGCTTTACCGGGCGTTGTGAGTATAAATTAATGACTGACGATTTTTAAACAACGCCCTTTTATACAACCTACTTATTGATGAATATAATCTCCTTGTAATATCTGTTTATTGAAAGCTGGTAGATATATTTAACTTATATTTAAACAGTTATGTTTCATTTAAGTAAAATGTTTTATTTATGCATACTTGATATATCTAAAAATCGAGTTGACATTTTAATAAACTTGCAATTATAAACTTTTCAGTTATTCGCACAGGGATCTTGGTACCTGCCATTTATATTAGATTTAGAACACATAGGTATCATTAAAAGACATGCACAATTGACAGAAGCTGCACATCTACTATCCCAAATTTGCCCTGCGCACAAGCAAACTGTACGTATACCAAAGCATCAACATTATATATTATGTTGTATTTCTTTGGCAAGTATACAAACTATTTGTTTTGTAGGTAGAGAAACTGACAGAAGCTCTATTGTGTCGGGATGATACTAAGCTACGAGATATGTTGTATGGACCAGCTCCCCCTACGGTGGCTTATAATATAGAGGTATGTGTTGCAGTTTGTTATTTTGTATGCTATTTCAATATAATTTGACTATGTCAATGTGTTGTCATGTAGGTCCTCCATAGTATGGTGTTACCATCATCAGATATAAGACTAGACCGGAGTCGCAGTTTTCAGTTGGCTTGTGTGAAGAAAGCACCATTATTGGTACAATGCTTGTCTGACAAAGACTTTCTACATGGCGCTGCCCCACACACTAGAAGGTATTTTATTATATATAATTACGGATTTTTTAGCATTATTCACTAATTCATTTATATATTTTAAATTATGAATTTCTATGTTTCAGAGTTGGCTATCTAGCATTAGTCCGATTAGCCAAATTGGTTCTTTATACTTTAGGTCACCTTTTCGAAATATTAGCACCAGATGGTTCCGATACTACGATAGATAGAGAGTTTAGGTATTACAATAATTTTTTATTATATACTGTTAAAGTGAAAAAATATTATAACAAAATATTGTGTTTATTACAGAATGGATGTTACAATACTGCGTGAAGCTCTTCAAACTGTGCCAAATCATAGCTGTGAATTGATTGTAAAAACTATTGCAGAAAAATTAGCCAATGTTTTAGGCGAACAGGCAAGTTTGTAGAGAAGTTGCTTACCTCTGAATCAACTCTACATGTTAATCTATGAAAAAACTAATTTGGAAGTTATTCTACAATCTCATGTAATATTTAAACAGCAGCTGATCTTTTTAGGTAGTAACAAGTCGAGACGAGGGCGACTCTGTATCGTCGTTGGTGTGGTGGCGCGTGCCAACGACGGCGACCGTGCGCGCGCTGTATACACTCGCTTACTGTGTCGCCCAGCCCGCTGACGTCACCGGCATAGTACATCCCGATGATGTTACGTGTAAGTTATTCAGATCCACATCTCATCTGATATTTCTCTTGCTCAATGAAATAAAATTGAAAACTTAAAGACTATCCTGCATTTCTTTTTGAGTAAATATTTAAGTAATTAAAATCATACACATCCTGTGTGTGATTTTAGTACCTCTTAGCAATGGAGCTTAGTTTTTGAAATACTAAACAATATGTCTCTTCCCCTCATTCCAGAGATAAATCGAAAAATAGAGAACATTATATCCCACCGTTATCGTTACCGTCAGCCTATCAAAAGTTCACTGTTGAACATATTTGCCACATTTAACCCAATTGCTAGTCGAGTTGTTGTGGCTATCGCAGTTTTTTATTACACACAAATAACTTTGTCGACATTATTTCGATACTAAATATTAATAACTTTTCTACATGGTAGAGCCACGCTCCAGCTATATCATAGTTGTGGCACGAATGGGTCGGCTCGACTGGGACAGGACCACGCTCTCACAGAATGCCAGCGTATAATAGCAGCTTAATGCTGCTGTGTTTTGTATGGTGAGTGTAGAGAACCGAAGACCCTTTTTACTGGAAACGAGGCATTCCATCTCACTCCTCAGGGCTGACAACGCATCTGCATTTTGATTCTTAACTGATGATAAATGTAGACGTCTATGGTCCACAGCATCCACCTACCATCAGGTGGACTGTGTGTTCGTTTGTTACCCTTATTCTATAAAAAAAATGATGTGTCAGATATTTCTTTCACATATGCCTAAGGCTTTACTGACACTCTAAAAGTAGTCGAGGTTTTTGATGTCCGTTACAACCTATTAAAAGTCCACTGCTGTTGAGCAAGTTAGTGCGTAATAAAAATGAACTTTTCAGACCTTAAGAACTCTAATAGATTTTAATCTTTTTTTTTTTTCATGAAATTTGGCAATTTAATCATGAAAAAAGGGGTTTCAAGGTATTTAAGGGACCTTATTAGACATGCACATTGCATTGCATGCACATGCAGTTACAAGTACCAAAAGATTTTGAGTACTAAGAAAGTAGTTGTCGAAAGTAGTCCGAAATGGAATTCAACATATATTATATATTTTTTAATTAAAAGTCCTTTTGCAGTGGTTCGAGAATGCATGGAAGTGGTTACTATTTGCATGGCATTGGGTGGTGGCCACTTGGAAACACTACTTCACGAGACTTGGTGGCAAGACACTGCTCTATACCTGATGATAGATTGCCCCAATCCTCAGGTAAGATTTTGAGATTTGTTTATAAATTTATTTCATTCTGTGCATCACAAGTATACGAATTACTCATAAAAATAATGATGTAAGTTATATTAATGAAATTTCTTATAATAACTATTAACAAGTTACAATACTAAGGGCCTGCGTTCTCAGAAGACACGCCATGGTACGGTGCGTTGAAGGATTATTTTCGGGGAAAACAGATTTTTCAATTTTATTTTAATGATCTTAGCACTGACATTCCTTTATTTCAACACGAATAGACCGAAACGTCTCGCGTGACACAGTGGCATGCTGCTGAACGATACGGTATTTCATGGGATGCTGCGGCACACCGCTGCATCACGTAAAACGCATAGGTTACTTTATGTTGTTAAAGGAATGTGAGTGCTAAGTAATTGAAACAAGGTTGAACTTTTAAACAGCACAGTGCCAAACTGCGTTAGCGCCCGAACGCGGCTGCTTTTGTCACGACGCGGATTGCCACACGATCCTTGGGCATGCCAATGTGTGCCTTTCCATGCCGTGCCATGCCATGCCGTCTTTATGCGCAAGCCCTAAGTTATCAACGAAAGAAATCACTAATAGTTTGTTTATTAAATATTATTAGCTAGATAAATACCGTTTCTTTCACGGTTTTATGGACAGTGACAACATTGACCAATAATACTTGTTTACGTCTTGTTAGATATGTATTTTATACTTCATCTCCGGACCTATAGTATAAATCCTATACTATTTGAAAAAGAAAAAACTATCTAGTTAGATCTAATTACTGGGAACTCTTATTTTAAGAGGAAGCGCAATGGACGAGGCTCACTTGTCACAAATAGGCGCAGTGCAACGGACAGCCATTTTATTGTTTGTTGCAGGCTTATATTGTCAGCAGCTGACGTGTCGCTACTTAATATATATGCCGTAATATACAATATTGGAACGCAACATTGAATATAATATATGTATTGCGCGTTCCGCGCAAATAAATTAATACTCATGAAATTGTATTAAATTCCACGCGGACAAAGTCGCGAGGTACAGCTAGTATTAAATAAAAGTATACAGTTTCTAGAGTATTATATAAATACACAAAACAATGCCTCAGTGGTTTACTCTTTAATTTTTTGCACATTATTAACTCTCATTTGAATTTTTCTATTTGGAATATTTGTAGTTTGGTTTATTCATTTCTAATCCAATTATCTAAGAAATATAATACATAACTAATATTATAGAAAAAAAATTCCCTGCTAAGAAATCTGTCAAATATTACACCTCATTGCTAAGTGGCGCCGTTCCGGTCGGTGTCGTCGGGCAGAAAAAATGGTGGACGCGGTCGATAATGTGTGTGTGTGCGGTGCAGGTGCGCGTGTCGTGCGCGGAGCAGCTGCTGGCGATGTGCGCGTGGGGCGGCGGCGGCGGCGCGCGCGACGCGCTGGGCGCGCTGGGCGCGGGCGGCGCGCGCCTGCAGCGCCACGCGCGCCACGCGCAGCAGTTCCTGCAGCTGCTGTGCCGCCTCGTCGCGCTCGCCGGTCCCACCGCGCGCACCCGCGACGACCTCGCCTGCGAGGTACACGCACACGCACTCACACTCACACTCACCTCTATTCTGAATTACACCATGTTTCTATACACGTGCAATTGTAGCACAGAGATTACACTCTATTCGCGGTGAACTTCATAGCGCGCGAGCAAACCAAGCCCGAGCCCCACTGGAACTAATGAAATTATTAATTACAATTTTTGAAGTGAAAGTGATGATCTACTGAAACGTAGTGAGATCTAGGCGGTGATGAAAAACATCACAAAGAAACTTGTATAATTAATTTAATAGTTATTCTCACCTTATTCAATTGCTTGGGGTGCAGTGTATTCTACACGGCACTTTATATTCTTATTTCATATATTCTAACAACAACACGACGTCTGTCTGAACACGCATCACGCCAAAACCTGTATACCGATTTAGATGGGACTTTCACTAGCATGTAGACGGTGTTATAAGGAGTAACTTAGGCTATTTTATTTAGAAACAGAATTAGGGTTCCGCACAAAAAGTTAAAATCCATGAAATCCAATCGCAATAAATTCTACGCTGGCGAAGTCGCGGGGAAAATCTAGTATTCTAATAAAAGGCTAGCAAAACATCTCTTATTAACTCCTATTTTATATGACGGCCATGCCAGGATCTAATGCGACATGTTCTGATAAAGTCTAAAAAATGTCAAATGTCATGATAGGATAGGATTATAGTGCCCGAGTATATGCGCAAGCACAGATGCACTCTATTCCCTCAGACTGAGATCTAAATTAATGTCGGTATTTATAGAGTTAACTTCTGTGCGCACTTAGCAAAGCGTAAGTCAACGATATCGACGACTTACGTAAAACTCAGGATATTATTCAAAACCACCGTATTAATTTTAAATTGTTTTTATAAATAATTAATTAAAAGAATAAATAGGTAGTTTTAGGCTGTCTTCTAGTTTTAAATAGCATTAATCCATTTTCTATTTACGTAATTTCAATCTTATTTAAAATTTCTTAAAATCTTATTTTTTTTTTACTTTTTTTCTGACTTTGCACTCATCTCATCCGTTCCCGTTCTCATAGGACCGTTTTCTATTTCATGTAATAATAAATAATTTATGAAATAGAATTTATAAATTATTTATTATTACATATATATACATTTAAATACGTTTTTTATTTAAATCGAAAATTACTGTATTAATAATATATCATTTTTTTTATTAAATACAGTTATTTTGATTTTAAATATATATATTTTTTAATGTTTACAGTAAAGTCAAAAACATAATGCGTTGAATGACTCCGGGTTGGTTTTTACTAAGTCGTATAGGACCCCATTCATATAAACAGACGATTATTTGTCAGATAGCAATCAGTTGAGTTTTTCAATTGTTAGATAAGCATTACTTGACGAATAAGTCGACTACCTGATAAGTAAATGATTTTTCCATTTGACAAACACATAAATATTTTATTGAACAGATTGTTTCTTTAGATGACCAATGATGTTAACAAAAAATTTTACTGTTACGTTATATTTCTTCATTTTGCATTTATTACAAAGTTAAGTCTTACTGTTATGAACATTTTTAATAGAACTAATGATTTTGAAATTAAGGAAGAGGTTCTGATAAATTTAATTATAAATCTTACTGAAATAGACCTGATCAGTACTTTACTATGTGGGATTTAAAAATAATTTTAAAACAGTCTATCCAATATTTACTTTCCATTATAGGAGAAAAATGATACAATACGCAAGAGGCAAATTTTCAGTGATTATAGGTATAACAAATAACTGTATCATGAGCAGACACCAATTGAATCTCAGCAGAAAACATGTGAAATCTGTCACCCACAGTTGCGAGGCGAAATCATCTTAGAAATGAGGAAGGCTTGTTGTCCTATTGTTGAACTTTTAAATTTTTAAGTTTGATTGAACATTTTGTACTTATTCACATGTTAAATACTATACATTACAGGTCAATTGGCTACGTACCATTCGCGCTAATCCAGAGTTACTTGACGACACTCTCCTGGAAGGGCATCTCAATCTCACGAAGGAGCTATTTACGCACGTGCCAGCGCAAGTGAAATATCAGTATGGTGCTCATCCGGATCATAAAGATGCTGGTTTAATAAAGGTATGTTTGACTGAAGTAAGACAAATATCTTCTTAAACATATTTTTGCTGTTTTTAATTTGCTGCCTGGACCAACATTATATTATCACTCTCGGAAATCTAACAGTTGATCTGTTGCAGTTCAACTCATCCTTTTACCTCGATGGCCAATTTTTACTAATAATTCTTATCATGAAAAGCTAAAATTTTTGTTAACAAATAAACATAACTATATTGTGTATCGCAATGCCAGATGATAGTAAAGTAATCTGCTATTACTCGTCTATTGAGTTGCATGGCTCCACGATTATCGTATCACTCGCTGAAACTCGGCAGCTTAGTGAATAAGAGCTAGCTTTAAATTTCAAAGTATGTGAGCAAAGAGAGTTCGATCCAATCTGGCGCCAATGAATGTTTATTGGCTATTTAACTACTAATTTCGCACTTGCTTGTCGGTGAAGGAAAATTAGCATACAAGCAAACATGTCTGAAATAAAATAAAGTGTTTTTTTTTTAGTTTTCAAATTAATTGTAATGTTAGACATTATTATTTTTTAAAATCATAAACATTGTATTGTAGCTATAGAGTTTAGATATACTGCTGATAAAACAAGTTAGTGATGTTAACTCATACGAATTTACGCATAAAAAATCTCGTCCTTTTAAAAAAACGTATGAAGCTTACCAACATGCCTTGGGCCAGGGTACTATTAAATTGGTTTATAAACGTCAGGAGGTGACGACGGAGTTCCTGTGGCCGTACTCGTGGGCGTGGTGGCGCATGGGTGAGGGGGAGGGCGAGAGGGAGGGCGAGGGCGAGGGCGGCGCGTGCGAGCCGGCGGCGCCGCTGTGCCGCACGCCGGGCGCCGCCGCCGCCGCCACCGACCTGCTGCTCGCGCTCGTGCACGGCTGCGTGCCCAACATGGCCGCCATGGCGCAGCTGCTCGCCTGCATGTTCTACAGTGGTACGCCCCTGTTGCTATTGTTAGCTCACATTTGCCACTCACACACCAGGTGGTAGAGACTCTTTATCTTCCTACGAGTCGATCGGTAGGCATCTCTTACTGCCACAAAGCAACAGTGCACAAAATATAATGATCCAGTTTGAAAGATGGCTAGTCTCCATTGAGACAGGGCGCTGAAAAATTAACATGTTTAATAAAATCTTTTATCACATAATCAACAATGACATTCAATTATAGATAAAAACATGCCACTTTCGGAATGGGAATACATGCCGTGCGTGGGACCGCGGCCGCCCGCTGGACTAGTGGGACTGAAAAACGCAGGCGCCACGTGCTACATGAACTCCGTTCTCCAGCAGCTGTACTGCGTGCGCGCCGTGCGAGATGTGTTGCTTACCGTTCAAGGTTCGGAAAATACATTAAATAATATATCCATGTTTATTTCATTTGTATATCAAGAATTTATTTTTTAAAACAGTTGCTCAAAAAGTGGCGTATTGCAGGGACGTATAGCGTTCGGAATGTGGGCTATTATTATTACATACTCGTGCTTTTTCTTTACCTTTTCCGAATTCGTGCGTTTTCTTTCCCAACTTTCAAAATAATGTCTATTAAAAAGAAAAAAACCAACCACGAAGTTTTTACAAAAAAAAATCATAGTTTTATGATTCATGCAAATATTTCTAAAAAGAAGCTACTAATTTGTTTCAATATCAGATTAAATGATTTGATTCAATGAATTAGGTTAGGTTTCATTTCATTTCATCTCATTAAATTTAATTTTCATTTCATATCAATAAAAAAATTCTACTGAAGACTTGGCTGTATGGGCATAGTTCCCTTTGCCTACCCAGAATGGGTGAAGAAAATTAAAAAAAATCTCTGCTTATATTCTTTTACGGTTGCCGCCATTTTCCAAAAATGTTCTTTATTAAATTGCTTCATTTTTTCGCAACTGTATTAAAAATAGTTGTTCAGTACACGTGCGGAACCGTCATTGCAACTTTTTCCGACTGTCAACCATCACCTTCGGCTGCGCCTCGGCTCGGGTAGACATTTGTCGGAACTCTTTGCAATGACAGGCTTTCCGCACTCGTAATGGAATATACTATATTGAATAGTACGTCAAACAAGTGGTAAAATGAAACATTTTGTACAACCAAATTCAACATAAATTATTAAGGATAACTCAAAAACAGATCTTGATCAAATTTATATGGCACCAAATGAGAACCACCAGCTTTGAAATAAAAAAGAATCATCGAAGTCGGTTTACGAGAAAAACGTTATGAGGTACACACATAAAAAACATACAGTCGAATTGAGTACCGCCTCCTTTTTGAAGTTGGTTGAAAAAATTGTTTTAATCTTTAAAATTTACCTTATATGACTTTTTGTCTCCTAAATTATATTACTTTCTACGTTATAAAAATGTTAATATTGGTCATATTTTATAGGAGCTGCTACTGACCCAAATGAAGATTTTTCTGGTGAAATCCAACATCATAGCATAATGGAAAATAATACTGAAGTATGTATATATTTTTCGCTTCATATCAGTTATTGCATTCATTTAGTTATTACGTATTTTATATATATTTTAAAAAGGTTTTAAATATAATTATAATGTTATGTTTTCTTATAAATTAATGACCTTGTTGCAGAACAATGGTGATTATAACATAACAATTTTAAAGCAAGTACAAGCTATATTTGCACATCTTCATTACAGCAAACTGCAGTACTATGTACCTAGAGGTCTGTGGGCGCATTTTAGGTTTGTAGTCACTTTTTAAAGGATGTATTTTAAGCTGCAACAATAAATAAACACACAACTATTTCCTGTTACAGACTTCAAGGCGAACCAGTTAATTTACGCGAGCAACAAGACGCTGTTGAATTTTTTATGTCTCTTGTAGAATCTCTTGATGAAGCTTTAAAAACATTAGGTCAAGAGCAACTAATGGCAAAAACTATGGGCGGAACATATTCTGACCAGAAAATTTGTAAAGGTTGCCCCCATAGGTAATTTTGAGAAGTTTCTAATACTTTTTATAGTATTTCGAATATAGTATTATTAGAAGTTAATATTTTTTTAGGTACTGCAAAGAAGAACCTTTCAGTGTAGTGTCTTTGGACATCAGAAATATGTCTCGCTTGCAAGAATCTCTAGAAGCATATGTACGTGGAGAATTATTGGAAGGAGCAGATGCATATTATTGTGATAAATGCAGTAAAAAGGTAATACGGATTGTATAAGCACATGAAATATAAAATGAGTATGGCAATATAGTAATAAATTGTTTTATACACAGGTGGTTACAGTCAAGAGGTTATGTCTTAACAAATTGCCTCCAGTGTTAGTTATTCAGCTGAAAAGGTTTGAATACGACTTTGAGAAAGTGTGTGCAATAAAATTCAATGACTATTTCGAGTTCCCGCGAGAGCTTGACGTCGAACCATATACAGGTACATATTTAAAATATATCAATAAAACATAACAATACCTACAATGTCTTGTACTATGTACGATATTAAATGATTACACGGGTGGTGCTATTTGGTAGTAATGTTGTAAAATTAATCAATTCAAAATTCGCCCATAATTGAAAAATTTTAAGCAAACGAAATACCAAAAATTATCACCCCAAGTTGTAAAACAACTACAACGTAAAGTTCATTAAAAACTGCCTATTACAAGTACCAAATGCTGCGCGGTTTCAATGGGTTTCGCGGGTGCTGCGGTGCCGAGCACGGCTCGCGCAAATTGTTATTTACTTTTTGCTCACAATCCACTAATAACTACCACACTAAGTATCTAAGCTCAAATATCAAAATTATCTCATAAATTCGTCCTTCCTCGATTTCGGTATTTGGCGTGGGGCAATCTGTTCTGAGCGGAACCGCACGGAATAAAAAATGTTCACTGACCTATTGCACGCCTCATAACGCGAAGCGTTACAGGTGTGTTCTACCCTCGACATTTTTTTTTCTCTTTTAAAAACGTTACCCCCACACTAGGATTTTCTCCTGTGTCGTGGAGGCAGTTTACAAACATAAATTGCACGAGGACAAACATCCAGACCAGCAACAATTATTTGTAGGCCATACAAAGAGTGAATGGGGCTCTACACGCTATTATGAGGAATCAGAATGTGTCAACTAAGGCACGTATGGCAATTCATAATGCTGTGTTAGTCCCTACTTTAATGTATGGTAGTGAAAGTTGGGTCTGGCAGAAGAAGCATGAGAGTAGAATAAATGCTGTAGAAATGCGTTCCTTAAGGAGTATGCTAGGGCTGAATCTGAATGACAGGGTGAGAAAGAGTGTGATAAGAGAAAAGTGTGGTTTGCAAGATGACGTTGCGACAAGGATTAAGAAAGGAATGCTTCGGTGGTTTGGTCATGTAGAAAGAATGAACGAGGAAAGAGTGACAAAGCAAATTTATATTGCAGAAGTGAACGGCAGGGTCGGGAAGGGACGCCCTAGACGAAGGTTTATCGACCAAATCGGCGATACATTAAAAATGGGTCAGATTAGGAGTACCCTTAACCGACGAGCGTGTATGCGTAGATATATGGATGTAAAAGAGGCGAGAGAGGTGTGTCAGGATCGCGCCACATGGAAGTCCGTAGTCTCTGCCTACCCCTCTGGGTGACAGGCGTGAGTGTTTATGTATGTATGTATGTACAAATACTTGTTCCATGCGGGATTCGAACCCGCGGCCCCCAGCGCAACAACATGTCAAGGTCAAGCCATTTTGTGTTCTTAAAATGCTTCTATCATAACCATTTTGCACTTATACGATAATATGAGTAGCCGTATATCAGAAAAACACTAATTAATTCATCTTATATTTTCTATATAATCATTTTATATTGCTACTTTGAAAAAAAAAAGGCTGGATAAAATATTTACGTGGACGTCCGGATGTTGATTTTGTATGTGGTCACTATAACTCCCGAGAAAATTAACCGATCGAGACCGGGTTTTTTTTTATTAGCTGCAGAATTACATCAACTGGTTTCCTATGTCATATCATTAGCCTAGTACGCGTAGTTTGTTAATAAAATAATTTTAAACTTTAAGTTTTACTGCTATTAAAATTCTACAGACGCCGTCATATATTTTTTTAGCATTTGAATTTGAAAATTTAAAGGTGCTTTCATATTTTTTAGCCCTTGATAGACAAAGGACAAATGTACCATACAGCCCATATCGATTTTATACTTTGTGTAATCGATTTATTTTGGTAAACATTTTTTTCCCTGTAGGTAATACTACCTGTTAAAATAATAGAGCGCTAAATTTAGTACACGTAAATAATATATTTTAAAAGTCAGGAATACAACTTATTTTTTTCATCAAAATTAATGATGCTCATGAGGCGTGCACTTTTGGATTTTTCAAACTATTTTCTCCAATGCGCTGGAGTGAATACCCAGGTGTGGAGTGCGCGCGCTTGCATTAGGACGGGGTGACTTTTTGTAGCGACACGCGCGACTTAATTAATGCAATTTTAGAATTATGTATGAAAATGTGATACCGAATATGCCTTTCTACTTGATGTCGTACAGACAGCAATTGTATGATATATAACAGAGAAATGATTTATCTAGTTCTATACAATGTATACTTAAGGTTTACTTTTTTGGCGAATCTTTGTTAAATTGAGCCATGTTCTCTTTCCATGTAGCCGATATGACTACATATTATGATGATGCTGTGACCCATAGACATCTATAATTATCCTCAATTGAGAATCAAAATGCAGATGCGTTGTCACTCCTAAGGACTAAGATGGAATGCCTCGTTTCCATTAATAAGGGTCTATGGTTATCTACACTCACAATACGAAACATAGCATCATTAAGCTGATATTTTGAGGTCGAGCCGACCTATTCGTGCTGGCTCTACCACTTATAACCTATATATACCTTGATGATTATGTAAGGCAAAACCGGTAGGTTTGTAATATAAATAATTAACAAGTGGTAAAATAAAAAAAATTCTACAACCAACTTCAATATAAATTATTAAGGATAACTCAAAAACTACTGGTCAAACCTAGATCAAATTTATATATGGGACCACATGAGAAGCACCAGCTTTCAAATAAAAAGTATCAGAATCATCAAAATCGATTCACCTGAAAAAAGTTATGAGGTCACATTAAAAACATACAGTCGAATTGAGTACCTCCTCCTTTTTGAAGTCGGTTAAAAATGTTGCGCTACACACATGATGTGTAACTCTTGTATTCAATTCTAAACATTTTTATGGTAAGTCTAATCAGAGCAGTAAAATTTCTGATCTTTGTGATCACTTAGCGTGGGGCCTAGCACGAGCAGAGGGCGATGCTACATTGTGGGATGGCGGCGAAGAGCAGACTCCCGAGACACATTATCAGCTGAGCGGCATAGTAGTACACTCTGGGCAAGCCTCAGGTGGTCATTACTACTCCTATGTTCTGTTAAGGTACTAAAATTATTGATATATTTCACTGAAAGTAGTCTGGTATAACCATGTGCTTATGCATCGTATAAAATTGGTTTCTTAGGTTTCTCACTTTTTATGAGGGCGACACTGAAATTTTTAGAACTGGCCACTTGTAAACGATTTAATAAAAAAATAAGTTCAAATTTTGAAAATGGATCTTTTTGCCAATATTATTGTGTATGTTTTTTATTAATTTGTCATTTGTTTACGATTTGGCGGCAAATTGAAAATTGTCTGTCACGTCAGTATGTAAATGGAGCCTTACTCCTGTCACTGATTTAACCAAACAAAATGAACTTCGGGTACCTTGTTACTGTGTAACAAGGTACTTGTACTGTGGAACAGTGGATCAGTCTCCTCTTATGAAACGCACGGAAAGATATGAATATTCATGCACCGCGACTACACGGTAATTGATAATTTCTCAAAACATTTCATATATCGACAAATCATCTTGCAATCGTCGTTAATCTAGCGGTATTTTAATTGTTGATATTTTTTTTTAATTTTTGAATAAGAACATACTAATGACTATACTAATGAACATAGTTATATTTACCATCATTTAAAAAAAAATGTCTGTGGCCTGACCTCTACTTATACTCTTTGGCTTGACCATAGTTCTGAATAAGTTTGTCCAGTAAAATGTCGGGGTCTGAGAGGTTGTGTGTTTTTAATTAAACATCTATTGAAACATATTAAAAAATACGCTTATTTTATAACAACCACATGAATAATGTCAATTAAAAAAAAAAGATACTAATAATGCTTTTGAAATTACTAATACTCCCATTAACCATGGCAAGTAAGTTTAAAATTATTGTGTGACCCACGACTTTAGGCAGCTTGCATAATAATAATATGTAGATATTTTTATAATTTATTTATATTACTTTGGCCAACATTATTATATTTTCGATAGAGATAACGGCAGCGAGGGCGGGCGCTGGGTGAAGATGGATGACGGTGATGTGTCCGAATGTGCCATGCATGACGACGAAGAGATGAAGGCACAATGTTTCGGGGGTGAATATATGAGCGAAGTAAGGAATATGAACAGTTTTAACTTTTACAACCATGACCAGTACCGTCACTAGTCAGCTAAGTAAAGCTTAGTTCGATACGTTGACATTTTGCCAGTTGACATTTTTCTAATAAAATGTCACAAATACAACAAAGTATTTTAGTTTCTGTCAGATCAGATAGTCTTAACCTGTTCATTGTGTAACTTTTGCCCACACTGGACGCGTACTTATTAAATTTTAATGGAATTTGCTTTTATCTAGGGCAGTATGAAAAAAAAACATCCTAGGATACAGTTTGGATATTTTATAGATATTTATTGTTTTATATAAGTAATAAAGCCTCAGTAACTCAGGGGTTAAGTATTTTAAAATAAAATACCTAAAATCCAGCTTCGTTATCATTAGGACAAACTTATAAAATGCAGTTTTTTTAATTAGGATAAATCAAAATTAAAAAAAAAATATGTCTTGAAACAATTATTTCAAAAATAAAGTAACTGCGACTTAATATCACGAAATTTGTAAATATTAATAAAATACACAACATAGAAATTTTTAACAACTCATTTTACTGCATCGAAAATTCCAAACAATGTAGAACCTAGTATACTTCCCTTATGAACACCAAAGGTAAGCGGTGATTCCTCACTAATGTAGTCATCTTTACTTGTTATTTACGTTCCCTCTGGTAGTCCTTTAATAAATTCAGCGGGATGTCTCATACCGATTGTTTCCAATTTACGCCCAAGGGTTGAAAAAGAAACAATGTCAAAGGCTTTCTTAAGATCTAAAAATGTAGCCAACATTTATGACCTTGGTCTAGTTGTTCAGTTATATGTGATGTTAGCGCTAAAACCGCATCTTCTGTCGACTTCCCGCGCCTAAACCCGTCGTTTATTTATTAACTTTTCTATAATTGTAGAAACGGCAGGCAACACTGAAATGGGCCTGTAGTTATTTATATCGTCCATTTTTCCACCCTTGTAACAAAAAAGTGTATAATTTGTTTTGAATAAGATGGAAAAATACGCTTTTGAAAGCAGATATTAGCCAAATTACTTATCACAGGAAATACGAGCGATTTAGAAAACTTGAGAAACTAGAGATATTATCCCAGCCAGGTGCACTATTTGTCTTGAAATCTGACAGGATATTTTCAATTTCCAACGGATCATTTTTTAGTAAGGCAAATGATGATAACTTTGATGCAAGCATAGGTAGACTGTCAGATTCGGAGAGGTGCCATATTTTTAGATATCCTTAGCTAGCTTTCTACCGATATTTCCAAAATAGTTGGTAACATGATTAACTGAATCATATGGGCTTAATTTTATGTTTAGTAAATCTGAATCTGTGGTCTTACTAGTTTTTAGATTTGTTGGATCATCCGTATGCATCCGAAATGGGCTCGTCAAGCACACTCGGAACGGCAACCTCAAACTGGCCCTCTAAATCGGGTCAGCCATGTGAATTCCTCTATGCCTAGGCTACTAAGCTACCCGACGTACCAATACGAGAATCCTTTGGGGATCAGTATCAGTGTTATAACCTTAATAATACAATTTTAAGGATTACTACACTAATATTTATAAATTGTTTCCTAGGTATTCGATTCTACACAAAAGCGGCTTTCATATAAACGGCAGAAGAGATGGTGGAATGCCTATATGCTTTTTTATACAAGAAAGGACACAATAGAGACATCTACTCTGGAACAGTCCATGAAAAGCATGACACTTAAGTAAGTAAAATCATTGAGTTAACGGCTCATTCAGTTTCCATTACTTTAGTCACTTTTGAAATTGTATACAAATATTTAAAATATAATATATTACATAAATAAGCTTAAGACTGTAGTCCTTGAGCGTGGGAACTTCTAATAGAACACCTACATTTGATATTTTCTAGCCACACAGACGCATCTCGCAGTGTTAGTATACGCACCCTGGACATAAATAATTTACTTTTGGTGTTTTGCACAAGTTACATATTCATCACGCGTTCGTCTTCGTAGGATGTTCATGAATGTCTCAAAAAACACTCATTGTATGTAGCCATTTGCAATTTCTTTTATGTCATTTGTTTGTCACATTGCGAAGTCCGCGAGCCCGTAATTAATAGCTGACGGCAAAGGGTAGGGCCAGACTGTACGCTTTCTAGGTATTATTTTAACTATTATTTTTTATTTATGAACAAATTTAAAATATTATCAATTTTTTGTGTATAATGGGAAATATGAGTTTCATAAGAATGATCTTTTATTTAAAAAAAAAAGGTTAATACAGATTTAAACAATCACAGTGGTTTAAACAATTTATACAGTATGTAACAAACAATCCGTTGGTCGTGTCAGGGACGTATAGGTGTACTATGAATGGGATTTTAGCGTTTCTAATCAAATACTAACTAAATTTATTATTTCTAAAAATGTTATTTACAACTGAACTAATCGACAAGTGCCGACATACCTACGGCTACTGTGAGGTCTGACATGGCCGATACATAATTTTTTTAAAGCGAGCCCCTGCGCATCGCGCGCACCCACAAGGTTTGTGTGTGAATAATCCCCTCAACAGTATCTTTAAAGATGGCGGATCATATCTTATATGTTGTCTAAATAATTAACTTAATTCGTGTTTTCTTTAAATAAATGGGTATAGTATTATGCTTTATACAATAAAGTAGTTATAATAAAAATTATTTTCGTCTAAATTTATATATTATTATAACAGTAGTGCTAAAAGTGAAGTTATTTACAATTTTTTTTTTCTAGATACAGTTATTCCCAGAAACTTTCAATTTAAATATAATAGAAATAATAATGAAAGTATTTTAATAATGTGCTGGTAGTTTATGAAAATTCCATGTCTCTTCTTGAATACCTAATAATATGTAATACGTTCATATTTACTTTATATTATAAATTATCTTACAAAAATCATTTTACGAAGTCACTTAACGCGAAAAGATCTTAGTTCCTCTACGTAGATGACGATGTTTTGAATAGTTCTAAAAGTTTCTAAAATTATGTAGAGATCAAATATACATTGTTCATTCATTCATTACGATCTATCAAAGTCAACTACTGAACATAAGCCTATCCAACGGAAAACCAAATAAGGGGGTATTTTTCATAGTTTCCACTTTTGCCAGGCGGGTTGACAACCGCATTTTTTTCCTTGGAACTAGTTGTTATTAGGATGATGCCGTTACTCATCTCCTGATTTCCATCTACCTGTTACCACACCCACGAGATTATTTGGAGTAGTGAAAATTCTTTCACCGTCAATACACATTTTTATTAGATACTTATGCTTATACGTGGTAGAGCCATGCTGCAGCTATATTAGTAGTATAGTTGTAGCATGAATGGGTCGGCTCGACCGGGGAAGGACCACGCTCTCAGAGAATACCAGCGTAAATTAGCATCTTAGCGCTGCTGTGTTTCGTGTAGTGAGTGTAGAGAACCGGATACCCTTTTTACTGGAAATGAGTCATTCCATCTTAGTCCTCACGGGTGACAACGCATCTGCATTTTATTTGTAATCGAGGATAGATGTAGATGTCTATGAGCCACAACAACCACTTACCATCAGGTGGACTGTGTGCTCGTTTGTCGCCCTTATCCTATAAAAAACCACATTATTACTAATTAGAGATTTGGGAAAAATATTAAAAAAAAGGTTGTTTCAAGTATAAAATGTCGTGATTAATTTCTTGCAACTATTTGTATCTTAGCGAGTTTCCGAGTGGTTCACTTCATATGCTTACATTATTAATTAGATTTTTTTATTCTAATAACTTTCTTTGCGTTTTCCCATATTATCTACCTGAAATAGATATTAAAGTAAATTACTATTTTATTAAGTACATGAATTTCTGATACTTAAAAAAACAATACATAATAAGATTCACATACCTAGTTAGTCTACTTACTCGAAGAATACAAATAATGTTGTCCGACACTCGCGACCCACCTTTATGCTATGTCAAACAATAGATGTATCTTCACGACTTGTCAAATCGGGCTACAAACGGACGTGCTCTCACCTCGAAAATTGAGGCGGCACTGAATTTTTTCACGCGTGTTCTCTAATATAAAGCGAACTACGGAAACCTAACCGTCTCATACTAAAATGTATGGACGATTTCTGTTAAAAAATGAATGAAGGCTTAGATTGTTGCTTTTTGGTTTGAATTAGTAAAAATAATGAATGGTGAATGTGTTGTCTATACCTTTATCTCACGTTTTAACCAAAAAGATTTTCTAAAATAATACCTAAATGGCCTAGAGATTTAAAATAGAAAAGGCCGTTTTAAGTGTTTTCACCATTGTTGAAGATTTTTTCTCGAAAATCAAGATGTTTTTTATAAATATTACAGTCAATAGTCATTCAATGAAGTCAGTTCTTTAATATTTTTTAAATCGTAACTGCCTATTTGCGCGTTTCTTAAGGACCGGCCTCTTAATATTTGTAAACTACATTTAATTAACATTATGCCTTAGCTTAATTTTTTATATTTTTTTTTCAACAGAGAAAGTGCCATTCCAAAGCCTATTTGGCAATCAGTGCGTCGCAGTAACATTGCCTTCTGTCACAATCAGGACCAATTTAGTCTTGAACATTTTAATTTTATGAAGAAGCTGTGTTGCATGCGTTTGCAAGTACTGCCAGGGTCACAAAGTGCTATATGGGTAAGTATATGCCATAGTAGTATTATATTTTACTATAGAATCATGCAAATATTTTTAGAAAGTAATCACATTATTTTTATTAATTACCAGGGCCCAGAACATGAAGAAATGTCAATGTTAGCTGTACAATTGGCGACAAAATTCTTATTTCAAGTTGGTTTTCATACAAAAAAAGCATTGCGTGGACCTGCTTCAGACTGGTATGTTAATTGTTAGCGATTATAAAAACTTAATATTTAAAATGGCTTTTAATATTTTGATTTTCTTTCTAGGCATGATATTTTGTGTCAGCATCTACGATGTTCACAAGCTGTTCGCGCGTGGTTTGCGACAGATCTTTTTAAACATCCTCACAGGTATTATATGGTACACAAATATTAAATAATTACTTGAAAGTATTTAATAATTATTGTCTTGTTTTGACCTAATTAAAATTTAAAAATAACACTATTTTTCAGGTTATGCGATTATCTTCTCTCATGCCCATCGGCTGAAGTCCGGATTGTATTCATGAAAATCATTGTATTCTTGGCGCACTTCTCTATTCAAGATCCACCAGGTAAATTTAACAAAACTGTGCACTGGTACTAAACAATAATATATATTGTAAGATAACGTGTTATATATAGGCTGTCCCAGAAGTCGACAGCAAGCCGGAACTGGGTGACAGGTCAAGTCATAATAGTTAACAGAAAAATATTAAAGAAAATCTTGACTTATTGTAACGCTACTCCCCACGCCCCCACCCCCAACTATAAAATATATAAAATTTACGTGACCGGTATAATAACCATATATTGATCTTTCTCAAGGATCTTTCTAAAGGTTTAGTTACAGGCCGTTTAATAAATTTATGGCTGGATCGTCTTAGTTAGGACTCTTATTTACATTGCGTTTTTTTTATAGGATAAGGGTGACAAACGAGCACACAGTCCACCTGATGGTAAGTGGTTGCTGTAGCCCATAGACATCTACGTCTATCTTCGATTACGAATCAAAATGCAGATGCGTTGTCACCCGTGAAGACTAAGATGGAATGCCTCGTTTCCAGTAATAAGGGTCCCACACACGCCGTGTCTGCGCGTGATCGCCAACCAACCACCGCACTCCCCCCGAAGGGGACGTTAAGTTGTGAACTGGACCTTAGTCCACAGCAAAATAACTGGCGAACCAGTAAAAGAAGGCTTGGCCCCTTGTAAAATAAAATAAAGTTGCAGCCTATTTACGTCCCACTGCTGGGCACAGGCCTCCTCTCATTTCTGAGAGGGTTGGTAGTGCGTATGCACAAACATCGACAAAAGTCGCGCATGTTAATAAGTGTAAACGCCATACAGAATAAGATCAAATACAGCCACAGTGAATGTATGTCACACGGTTTAGGCAAAACGAATAATAAACACACTGGCCATAAAAAGCCCTACGTGAGCGCCACCACCTGCCAAATCGCCGTTCCTGCAGATGTGATGTAAGCGTAAAGCATCACCATGTATGATCAGCACGGCTGCTAGCCGCAGAGCGTATCATGAGTCTACCGCTCACCTCAAGGGAATGGGGTACGACATTGCGCGGCATTTGGCCGCAGCCTTGAGAGCCTCCTCAGATTCTCTCTCTAGCTACCACCCGCATGAGGTCGACACAAATGCTCCACCAACCAATACAATGGCAGATATAGCCAATAGGCAGTTATAAGATAATAGTAATAATTCGCCATCAGAAAGGGTATGTGTCACTAACGTTGAGTATATGCATTTTTCGATCATGTTTGTCTCACCCACCAACAAGTTGCCTTCAATCATTCATAGGTTACTGAGATATATTATTATGTTGTTATATAAAACATCATGGAAGTCAGACAGTCTGCAGCCCCGTAATGAAGGGACCCGACTTGGGCAAAGCTACTTAGGTTGTGAGTTAAACCAAGACGCAGAGAGCGCCATTGAGAATAGCGACCCGCCAAACAACCATCGCAGAGATGCAATGCTGCAAAACGCATCATACCTCAATCGACCAGTACCACAAGATGCGTCGAATCAGGCGCAGCACGCCCGCAGATCCATCACACGACGCAATACTACAAGTAGCAGTAAGCATCAATGCAACTATCATACGGATGGCTCGCCCTCACAACACACCCACATGATCCTTACGGACTTTGGTAACAAAATAGATTATGTTGTTAACTAAAAATAGCATCAACGTATCATAGTAGCACGCTACTAAGACGTCGATAGCCAAAATCCAAATCAAAATCCACGTATCATAGCGCTATTGCACTAAGACATGGAGTTTGCTTGCTGCGCTTAAAAGTACTACCAAACACAGACCCTAATCCGAAAGATAGCCGACTTATCGTAACGCGATGCGCTAAGACGCAGCACACAAACTGTAGGGTGTACGCAACATGTCCTCTCAACGACTACGTGGAATGTCCCGAGGCGTATGTCGCGGAACATTTTGCAGGCCACACTAGTCAGTGCTTATAGAAATGTCGCCCGAGGAGGATGTGGCAATTAGTGCTACGTACATAGTACTTACTAAGTAAGCGAAAGAGAAGGTGGTGGAGGCGGAATTTCTTACTACAACGAGAAGAAAGAAGAATTAATATTTCAAGTGATCTCCAAATGTCTAACGGATCTTTTGAGAATTTTATTCGAATGTCTGTCAACATCTGACTTTGAAACTATTACAAATGATCTGACCTTCCATAGCTAAACATAATACAATACTACGGAACGCTGTTGACCCTCATATGACTTGCCATTGCATTAAGATACTTGTCGACTGGAGATTCTTATGCTTTCTTGTTGTACACTTTTCGAGTGTTGAAACAACTACGGGGGTATGAACATTTGGTTTCAATTTATTTTCTCAGTAATTTAACCGCCTTGGCAATATCCACCCACGCGTCATTTTTCTTTATTTTGATAATCACGGTTTGAAGTATCCTACAATAAAAATGACTCTGGTAAAGCTCAAGAAGTAAAAGCAGTAGCAGTAGTTCATTTCCCCATACTACTGACATGTTGCAAGACACGTTGAGCACACGTGTGCCCGCTCTCGGTACGGAGCAAACAATATGTCCCGCGTCACGTAAAATGTTGCGAGGACATGCGTTGCGAATGGGTACACCAGGGTAGAACCATGCTTTCCCAGAAGACCAGCGTAAAATAACAGCTTAATGCTGATGTATTTCGTACAATGACTGTAGAGAACCGAGGACACTTTTTACTGGAAATGGGGCATTATATCTTAGTCATCGGGGGTGACAACGCAACTGCATTGTGATTCTTAACTGAAGATAGATGTAGGTGTCTATAGGCTACGGTATCTACTTACTATCACGTGGACTGTGTACTCGTTTGTCACCATTATTATATAAGAAAGTGACAATCCACCGCTGCTAAATAATGTGTTGTGGCGTCGAGTGTCGGTAATGTGCACGGTGCATATCGGATGTCGACACGTTGCGTCGTATCGTGTTTTAATATTATGTTTCGGCCTATAAACTACATTATTAAATTGTAAAGCGACAACGCATATTGCAGGACGTTGCATCGTCACGTAGATCGAGTGTTTCGCGTCCTGATACGGTACAAAATGTCCTTCCTAGTGTATCCGGGGCTAAACGCTTATGCATCATAGAGACCTTCTATATTAATGTTTTTGTATCATAGACTTTACTATCATAAATCCCTAATATAGGACTATACATTGTACAACAGTACTATAGCAGTCAGACAACTGACCACCCCATATATATATGTACAACCTTGGGTATGCGTCTCCGGCAACTCCCTCTATAAGCAATTATTACATGAACACCTATTAATACAAGAACATTCTCATTAACTTGTTTCGCCCCTACACGAACGTGTCGTATTTTCGAGAGTGGTGTGTCGTGCCTAGTGTGGTGGTGCTGAGGATGGTAGTGCTGGGATTGACGGCGACGGGTATAGTGCGCGCGATTGAGGGAGGGTGGTCCCCTTAAAACTGGGCAGGAGTGGTCCCTGCTGTGTTTCGTATGCTGAGTGTAGAGAACCGGAGACCCTTTTTACTGGAAAAGAGGCATTCCATCTTAGTCTTCACGGGTGACAACGCATCTGCATTTTGATTCGCAAACAAGGATAAATGTAGATGTCTATGGACCACAGCAGCCACTTACCATCAGATGGTCTGTGTGCTCGTTTGTCACCCTATTCTATAAAAAAAAAACGTTTCTAAGTAATACAGAAAGTAGTCGCTAGACGGTGTTGACGTCGGCTAAAATCTCTGCGGTCGCCGTTTCGCCAAGGGCATTCAGGCTTCTTAAAACCTTAACAAAGTCAGTGTTAGGGCGCTTTCACATTAGGTCGCAAGTAAAGCGACAGCAGTGCGGCACAGCCGTGCGACTGCAGCGGATGCCTTCTTATTACAAATACAGCAGCCGAGCGATTTGTTTAGATTAGGGTGGCGCACTACAAAAAATATTGTTCAATTGTATTGTTAGCTATATGTGATGCAATTTATAACTTTACATGCATATATGTAGGATCATTTAGAAAGAGTGCTGATTCTCAAACATTTAAAAACAACTCAATATCTAAGACAATCATAGAAAATAGAGTGGGTATACCTAATCCTGCACCTCTCTGTAGTGGTGGACAACCTCTGAACTACACTTCCATTAGTGACGAGGCTTTTGCATTCTCTGATCATATGCAACGACCGTACGGTGGAAACGATTTGACTATCAAACAGAGAATTTCCAACTACAATCTGTAGTTATAAATTCTCTCAAATTGACAAGAGCACGTCGGTATATAGAATGCACGTTTGGCATATTAAGTAATAAATGGAGAATATTCCACCGCCCGTTGAACGTCTCAATTGATTTAGCTGAATATATAGTAAAGGATTGTTGTATTATGCATAATTTTATATGCCAACGAGATGGTTTAATTGTAAATCACATGTATCACATGTATTCGCAGAGAAAGACGAGTATGAAAATATTAGACTGTATAATCCAACTGGTGGTCGCCGCAACCTAGGAAGAGTCACAATTCGTAACGCTTTTGCCGATTATTATGTATCGCCCGAAGTGGAAATCCCGTGGTAGAATCACATGATTTAGGAGAGTCTTGTTGTTTGAATAATTAAAAAATATATAAGCAATATAATAGCATGCCTGCTGCACTTTTCTCTGACCTGGTTTTATTATTTAAATATGTAATAAACAATTCACATAATACATTCCAGTTTTTCTTTTGTATGGTCCTGTTGCTATAATATGCTCGAATCTCACAAAGCAGGTCGTATTTGAACTTGGATAAATTGTTCTGTGTCGTATGCGCTCATTCGCAATAATGATTCGAACGTCTGCTTCCAATACTGACTCGAAGCCGACTAATCGCTCGCGGTTGCCGCGCTATTGTCCGTTATGATAATCACGTGTTGCGCGGCTGTCGCGCTGCTCTTTTTAGCATGCCGCCTGTGAACTGGGCGACTGTCGCGCTGCTACTGCCGTGTCGCTTGCGGCTTAATGTGAAGGAGCCCTTAGATTGTCGAAAACAATGTTCGCGGTTTACGAAACAAAGAACTAGTCTCTCGCCCGCTCTCGCAGTCGACGAAAAAAGTAACTGAGAATTGAGCGTAACTTGTGCGCAATGTATTAGTACAGTAGTGCCCTATTAGAGGGGTATACAGACTAGAATAGATTTTTTTTTTCAATATTTATGTGTAATTGTTATTGAAAGTGGTTTTTTACTTTTACCGTGAGCACTTACAAAAAAGCTATGTGTGATATGTGATATGTGACGTGTGAAGTGTGTGTGCAGTGAGCAGCGGGTGGGGGTCGTGGGCGGCGCGCGAGGAGGCGGCGTCGCTGTCGGACCAGGTGGTGTGCGCGGCGCGCGCGCTGGCGGCGCCGCACCACGCCGACGCGCACGCGCACCGCCACCTGCCGCTGCTCTTCAACCTCTTCCACGCGTACGCCGCGCTCGGCTACAACGAGAAGCACCAGCTGCTGCGCGTAAGTTCTCATTAGTACTATTATGTTGCCTTTTTATCATGAAAACTAATAAAACTTGTCAGCTGCGCATCAAGAACGATGTTTCTCCTTGTGCAATTTTACATATGTAAAATGCCTCAAAATAAAGATAAAACATAAAGATCCCAACCCCAACCTACCAACCATGTAACTGATCTAGCGCATAATCTGATCAGGTTAAGAGGTTCGTAAACACGAAAATAGTCCCTAGCTTAACTATTTCTAATACAATGCTAACGAGATGAGATCTGAAGTGGGTTAGCATTGTGGTATTTGAACAATAGAATCTGTCACAACATCACAAATCAATTCCTATCCTGATATACTGATGATGTTAGTGATGTATTTAGAAGGGGATAGTATTGTTAAAAATAAGTGAGAAATTATCATTATACCTTATACTTCAAAATATAATTCCAAGAAGTTCATTAATACACCTGTATTCTTGTGTATATTGGATATCTTTGAGAAAGCATCAATTTTCAGCAGTGGACTTAGAAGTAATAATAATATTATATATAATTCGAAATTTTGTACCTTCTCAAAATTTAGTGTTTAATTTTATTTTAAACTAGATTTTTGTTATTTAAGAATATATACATAAATAAACTATTTTCACTTGACTGTAAAAATCCATGACCTCCATAAATTTCCAATAGAAAGTTTGAATTTAACTATTTCACAAAGAAAATTCATATTATTTTTTCCGTAATGCAATCCCTACATTTTTTTTAAAATACTAGTAATACTATTAAACATTACTAATATTGCCTTTAACCACTTCTGGTAAACTTAAAATGCTTGTGTTAGAAATGATTCTCGAACAGTAGTCGAATGGCGAATTCGAACCCACGACCTTTCGAGTTCGAGGTCCGCGCTCTGCCACTAGGCTACTGACTTTTCAAATTCAATATTACGAAACCTTGAAACTGCTATTAGGAAAGAATGGAACCGAATCCCTCGAGAGACCATCAAAATCTCGATAAGGTCATTAAAACGGCGAATGCAGGCCGTCATTCGGGCAAGAGGAGGGAATACGCAATATTAAATTGGAACTATAATTGTATACATAACATTTAAGACATAAACATTAGAGCGTATTTAAAATTAATCAAAAAATCGTTTAAAATTAAGGATTTTGATTTTTAAATCAAAACGACTTGCAAAAAAATCATTTTGATGTTTTGTGTGATTAAATTAAGTTAAATAAAACGTTTTGTTTGGTTTTGCTTAAGAAAAACGTGATTTGCCGTAAAAACGCAGGTGGGCCGATTTTTTGATGATTAGTGTATTTATTTCCTTTTATTTCAGCTAAAAATCTTGGACATTGTGTTAACGATTTGCATGGATGATTCTGCTTCTTCACTTGGAAAATACCAATACCCAGAATCAGCAAAAATACATCAGGTAAGTCTCACTCGAAGATAAAGACGGTGAATAGATTAATTGAACTGTCAGCAATTGCTGTTAATTGTTGACATTTTCTCGATCACTATTCGATAGTTATTTTGTTCTTTATAATAGCGAAAAAATAGTACGATGATCGAATGTAGGTACCTTGCTTAGAAAATTAACTAAATTTAAATAAAACTAATTTTACGGATTTTATCGCGTATATTAACTTATTTTATACTCCCGACGTTTTGAGCACTTTGTATGACGTCCCAATGTCATAGTTAACCACGGCTACCTCCAGATTAAAAATTATTAATTTTTGTTCCGATCTACGCAATATAAACTTACAGTATCTTGAAGTCTTACAGTTGTATGCTTGGGTTTGGATTTGATTTTATTAATTATGGGATCCCAAGCAGATGGCAGCACCTATCCATCTTCTCTATTGAAATTAGGATGTTTTTTGATTTCAATAGCCTCGCGAATCATCCTTGGAAGGAATCGGTGTTCTTTAGCGAGGATTTGTGGTCTATCAAATCCAATGTCGTGACGGTTTGTCCTATGTAAGAGAGACCACATTCAGAATCCAGCTTGCACACTCCTGCATCTTGCAGAGGGACATTACACTTGACTGATGGTAAAAACTGACTAATCTTCTTCGACGGCTTGAAGTATGTTTTAATGAAAGCACGCTTCAAGATGTAGCCGTGTTGGAGCTCGGCGGCCAGGTGTTTACTATCACAGATCTCTCGTGCTCTCTGAAACAAAGATTTACCCACGGTAGCTAACTGTGAAGGATGGTGATGAGATTCACCGTTTAAATATCTCTCTGTATGGGTCTTTTTTTTATACACAGTGTGGCTCAAGGTGTTATCAGGATTCCGAATTACTAACACATCTAGAAAAGCTAAAGAATTGTTTGTCTCTAACTCCATTGTGAACTGAATTTTAGAATTTATGGAGTTAAGATGATCTAAAAATGCAGTTACTTTATCTAAAGGTAGAATTGTAAAAGTGTAAAAAAATTGTGTGAAAAAAATTAACTAAAGTATTGAAACCGAACTAAAATAGCTACAGAATTGGCTCGTGCTATTTTACTAATGAACCTGGCATTGTATTGGAAAGAGATAGATTTATGTAACTTCTTTCTCGTAATTTCGAAGGTTGTCACAAGCATTTTAGGAGTTTCATTTGAGGTAGTATTGTATCTTTCGTCTTTAACCCCTCAGACCTTGGCACTTTATTGGACATACTTAGTCAGAACTATGGTCAAGCCAAAGAGTATAGTAGGTCAGGCCAAAGACAGTTTTTTTTAAACATGGTAAATATAACTTAGTCATTACTATGTTCTTATCCAATAATAAAAAAATTATCAACAATTAAAATATCGAATTATTTGTATGAAGGTCAAGTGAGCGTTAGAGTAACGACGATTGCAAGACGATTTGTCGATGATGAAATGTTTCGAGAAATTATTAATTACTGTGTAGTGGCGGTGTATGAAAATTCATATCGTAAGAGGCGACTGATCCACTGTTCAGTTCCACGGTACACGTACCTTGGTACACAGTAACAAGGTACACCGTGGAACAGAACGTGGCAACTATGACAAGTATACCCTCTATGAGGAATATAGTGGAGGCCTATGTTCAGTAGGGGTTTTATAGGATGTAACGGTGTTTGTTGTAATAGTGAGAAGAAAAAATGTGAGAGGAAAAAAAGGCGGACATTTTTTCTAAATTTAATTACGATGGAACGCGGATACTCCGTGCGATGTTTAGGGTAGCGTTGCAAAGGTGGGTGATATTTGTGCTAGTAAAATTCTGTGCTCCCCTTTATTTCCATGGCCCATGACCAGCAGTGGATTATAGCGTAGGTATTTTCGCTTTTGTAAGGTAGTGATGTATCTGTTACGTAGTAACATTATTCAATCTGCGTTATAGTATAGAGTAAAATCAATTCTCGGAAAACTCATTTATTTATTTTTAGTAAGAAATATGAAAAGAAATTCGGTATACAATAATGAAATAATAAAAGTAGTATTATTAATTTAGATTACAAAAATAAATATTGTTTTGTAATTTTTTATCTAACATAAGATTTTTAATATTCCCCCCGCCCCTTTTGTCAGCAAAGATAGAAAAATAGATCGCCCCTCGTCCCTAAGCCTGCTTACACAATACTTGTACGCCCTCTATGCGAATATTTTTGGGCATATACTATTTCAAGTAGTACCTACGATATTTTTGTCCAGGTTGTGTGACTACAGTTTTCGCTACTTAGATTATTCCCACTGGTATGCTTCCGGGTATGAACTAAGATGTTTTTAAAGTATAGCTACGCCATACTCGCTCTAAAATGGCAATACGAAAGTCAGGTAATTGCCCGACTGGCATTCAGTCGGGCACGCTCTCGCGTCGCGCTTATACCTTCGCTACAGCGCGTAAATCTTCTAGTTATTCGTGGTAAAAATGCCTTCCTGTGTTTTTAGGTGGTGCACAAATTACACGGCAACTGTTAGAGACAAGAAAAACGACTCATTAATATTTTGAATATAGATGTTTTGTTCATAATTGGTTTTATTATTTCAACACTGACCGCTACCTAGCGTCAAAGTTTACAACTTTGACGCTAGCTAGTGTGTTCATTTCCATATCGGTATGTCACTCGCTCGCGCCAATGAGCGCTCAGCAGGAATCAATACGCAACTAATGATGTATATTCATATTTTTCAAACGATAGGTATGTCGTAACATTTGTCTCTTATTGTTAGCGCAACGCGTCATAATAAATAACTGTACGTAGATATAGTACTACCTGCGCCACTTTAAAACACAATAATGTTAGTGTGTAACCAGTCTGTCTTTTTTAATACGTCTTTGGGTATGAAAGTAAGTTTTGTTGCGAAGGTGGTGTGCGTGCTGGCGCGGTGCTGCGACGTGAGCGCGCGCTGCCAGTCGGCGGGGGCGGCGGGCGGGGTGGGCGGGGCGGGCGCGGCGGAGGCGCCGCTGCCCAACCCGTTCGCGGAGCCGCCGCCGCCGCACCACCCGCACGCCGCGCGCCCGCCGCTCTCGCCCGTCGCCGCCGACGTGCTCTACAACAGGACCAGGTCACACTACTACATATTATATATCTTCTGTTATTTTATTCTGTGCGAAAATCGGACCAGCCATACTACACCACCACAGGCAAACGCATTACCACAAAATATGCATAGTAAAATGTAAAGTATGAAATTTTGCAGTAAGTCTCGAATTGTCAAGGTATTTGTAAAAGGAAATTACCTTAGGAAATCTGTAGGAGAACCTTTACCATTAAACTACAAAAAAGTAGCAGGTTCTCAATTGGAACAAAACTTATTTGTACAATCTATGCTACGCGATATCTTCTTAGATTGTAAACCGACGTTAATTATTCTTTTTTTTTATTAAATGGGTTAAGGGTCGATCCCATTAAATATGAATAAAAATGCAACCCACAAACAGAATTCTTTTTTTTTGGTTCTTTGAAATCAATTTTACCTTTATTAATACTTTAATATTTAATTACCATCTCCCAACTGGCTGTTTAAGACACTGCATGTTAACGTAACGAATCATCCATGACGTAGCACGTACATGAAGAAGCTGACTGAAGAATGTTGCGGGTGCGAAGAGGGCGTGCGGTTGCTGCAGTTCTTGTGCTGGGAGCACGCGGGCTGGTCGCGCGCGGCGCTCGCGGAGCTGCTGTGGCAGATGGCCTACGCGTACTGCCACGAGCTGCGCCGCCACGCGGACGCGCTCACCGCGCTGCTGCTTATGGAGGATAGCTGGCAGCAGCATCGCATACACAACGCTATCAAGGTCAGACACAACACAACCACGTTAATAAACTTACACGCCCTTATTATCAAAAGCAGTTTATGTTTAGTCTCAGGTTCAAACTACAATCTGTTTCACGCGGAAATATGTGAACGAAAATGTAATACGAAGACTAGTACCACGGTTAAGGAATTTTTTAGTTAGGAATACTATTCTTAAACCAAAGTTTAAACTCGAGACTATCAATAAATTATATCTCGTAATAAGACCGGCAATATTGTTTTAATACATATTACAAAATTTAAAAAAAAATGATGTATGGTGAAATATTTAAACTTTTTTCCAAATGTGAATGTCACCTGCAAGCTGAGTACTATTCTAAGTACTATTATAATTCTAATAATGGTTGAGGCTGGCGATCAATTATTGACGAACTTTATTTTTCCGAAAAGGTAAAATCAAATATCACAGACTGTGATGGCATTATCAATTTGAAAGTTCTACTCTCATTAACCTGCCGGTCTAACATGATGAATATCGCCAAATCGCCGGTCTAAGGATTTTAAGTGTAGCGTTAACGAAATGGTTATATTGTCATTTATGACCATAAATTATCGACTAAAAAAAAAATATATATATATATATATATATATATATATATATATATATATATATATATATTATTTTTTATTGATGATTTTTATACCTTATGTAGACGATTTCTTCCAAAGTAGTGGGTCGATTACTTTAAAATAAAATAAAAATATCATGCCACCTACTTAGCGTTAAGGGTAGAATAACAATTAGCTCGCAAAAATGTAGTATTATGATTATGACTTTAACTACGCTTTTTGTGAAAGAATAATCCATTTTTTGTGACTGTTTTTTTCAATCATCTGTAATTTTCTCAGAAATATGCCACCAATACTAGGAAATTTTATGATTTATTATTATTCTCTACCATAATGCATTTCAAATAAAAGAAAAACTACGTTGTAGTCCAAAAACACGCTGGCTAAGAGGTGTTAACATTTTACCATTAAGTCAGATTTTGATTGTAATCAAGTACCTAATTTTTTACAGTTCTTATAACTGATTAATTAAATGCTTAAAATAATAGCCCACTCGTTGCTGGAGACACATTGCTGCACGAAGCGCAATTTGGTTTGTAGCTCTACGCACCATCCCTCGGTCACTTTTTATCTCATTTGCTCATTGAAGAATTCGATTTTGTAATACGGTGTTTACCGTGGTTCTTTAGACTTTTTTTCGTGGCACCACATAGAAATTAGTCGAGAGGAGTCAGATCAGGTGAACGCGCTAGCCATTTGTTTGCATCATCATCATCATCATCATTACAGCCCTTCACAAGTCCACTGCTGAACATAGGCCTCCCCCAAAGAATGCCACAAAGCACGGTCCTGAGCCACCTGCATCCATCGACTTCCTGCATGTCTTACCAGGTCGTCACTCCATCTCGTGGGGGGACGCCCTACACTTCGCCTACCGGTACGAGGCTGCCACTCGAGAACCTTTCTTCCCCATCGGTTGTCGGTTCTTCGAGCTATATGGCCGGCCCATTGCCACTTCAGCTTACTAATCCGTTGGGCTATGTTGGTTACTCTGGTTCTACTGCGGATATCCTCATTCCTAAGTTTATCACGCAGAGAAACTCCGAGCATAGCCCTCTCCATAGCTCGCTGAGCGACCTTGAGCTTCCTCATCTGGCCAGCAGTGAAGGACCACGTCTCAGTTCCATATGTCATCACTGGCAACACGCACTGGGTGTACAGTCTCGTTTTCAAGGTTTGAGGTATACCTGACGAGAAGATGTGCCGTAATTTCCCGAACGCTGCCCAACCGAGTTGAATCCGTCGATTGACCTCTCGGTCGAAGTTGGACTTACCTAGTCGGACTATTTGCCCCAGGTAAACATACTCGTCAACAACTTCGAGCTTAGTGTTCCCAACAACTACCGGCATAGGTGTGACATGGACATTAAACATGATCTTAGTTTTGTCCATGTTCATCTTAAGACCTATCCGTTAGGAAGCACTATTGAGGTCATTGAGCATAGTGCTTAGGTCCTCCAGCGATTCTGCCATAAGGACTATATCGTCGGCAAATCGAAGGTGAGTGATGTACTCGCCATTGATGTCGATACCGTATCCTTTCCAGTCCAGAAGCTTGAAAACGTCTTCCAATGCAGCGGTGAAGAGTTTCGGGGATATGACGTCACCCTGTCTTACACCTCTCTGCAATTGGATAGGTTTCGTACTCTGGTTCTGTACTCGGATAGTAATCGTAGCCCTACTGTACAAGCACTTCAACACTTCGATATACCGACAGTCAACTTGGCACCGCTGAAGGGACTGCAGCACCGCCCAAATTTCGACGGAATCAAAGGCTTTCTCATAGTCCACATACACCAGACATAGTGGCAAATTGTACTCTTCGGACTTCTGTACAATTTGCCGAAGGGTATGTATGTGGTCTATGGTGCTAAAGCCCTTTCGGAAACCGGCTTGTTCGGGAGGCTGGAAGTCGTCAAGTCTGCGCGCAAGACGATTCGTAATGACTCTCGAAAACAGCACGTAGACGCGGCTCAGAAGGGAAATCGGTCTGTAGTTCTTCAAGAGAGCGTTGTCACCTTTCTTGAAGAACAAGACCACCGCACTTCTGCTCCACGCCTCCGGTGTAATGCCACCATGGAGGACGGAATTAAAGAGCCTCTAAAGGACTTCAAGTACCGGTTTTCCACCCGCTTTCAGAAGCTCCGCTGTAATTCCATCCTCGCCTGGGGCCTTACCGTTTTTAAAATGCTGGAGAGCCATTCTAATCTCGCTCAGACTGACGTCCGGGATATCTTCGGAATAGTGTCGGATGAGACTCGCTCTTGGATCGTTACTCACACTTGCGTGTGGCTCCAACGATGACGTGTACAGCTGCCCATAGAACCTCTCAATCTCACTCAAAATCTCAGGTGTCCCGGAAACGATGCTGCCACATTCTGTCTTCAGCTTTGACAGTTGGCTCTTTCTGGCAGACAGATCTCCGGCAAAGACTTTGGAGCCTTGGTTCCGCTCGATCGCTTCTTCAATACGAGCTGTATTGAAGTTGCGTAAGTCCCGCCGCATGCATTTGGAGATCTGTCTGTTCAGATGCCTGTATGCTGTCAAGTCTGTTGAAGAATGTAGCTTCATCTCCCGTCTAACAGCCATGAGATTAAGAGTGTGATCGGAGAGTTTTTGTGTTCTTCTGCGGCGGGTCTTGCAGAACTTAGCTTCGACCGCATAGACAGTTTCCACGAGCTTGTCATTCATATCGTCCACTTCATTGCAGTCTTCTAGGCACTGAAAAGGGTTTTGTAACTCGAGCTGAAAGGTTTCGGGACTTTGGATTAGAGCACGAGGGGGACGGAGCGTTGACTTCATTAGACGAGACCTCTCCAACTTAACGTTTAGGTTCAGTGTGCCTCTAACCATTCGGTGATCGCTACCAGTTTTCACCCTCGCGATCACGGAGACATCACTGAACAGTTGTCGTCTGGTCGTCATAATGAAGTCAATCTCATTTTTTGTCGAACCGTCGGGGCTCGACCAGGTCCACTTCCTGTGGGGCCGCTTCTGGAAGAAAGAGTTCATCATAAAGAGTCCCTCTTTCTCCATGAAGTCGGCCAGCTGCTGGCCCCTTGGATTCCGTTGCCCTATTCCAAATTTTCCTACTTTCAGCTCACCTCTGTTTGCATGGTTTTCGTTAAAAAAAACTTCGCACATTTCGCCTGTAATGAGCAGGACATCCATCCATCTGCAAAAACATCCCCGTCGCCTTGTGTCCAGCGAAACTTCTTCGAGTAGAAATGGCAGTTCGTCTCTCAATACAGTTAGAAATCTTTAGGAGTTTAATGTAGGAGGTAAAATAACTGGACCAATTAGAACGTCATCGATTAGAGCTGCCCATACATTTATTGAGAACTGCACTTGAAATGTAGATGCCAGTGGCGAAGCTAGGGTTCCAAGATGGGCAAGCCCAAGATATGGTTTTGATGTTTTTAGCAGTTTTATAAAAATACACCAATCTTGATCTGTCTCCACTCTTTAGTTTCATATTCAGTGCTGTCGAGGACGTGTTTAACAAAGCATATAGAAGGCATACTACTGCTAGATAGATTGTATGATTATATGCATACCTTCGGTGGCTTTGAAAAAAGCCGTTTGGGTTTGCTTGAACGAAAGAAAAAGATATTTACATATAATACAATACAAGAACAAAAGAAAAGCATGAACAAAGTACAATGTACAAAATTAAAAAAACAAATTATTTGTATTCCAAATTGAATCGTCTCTCTTTCTTAAAGAAAGATTTGATTACGTCCGCGTGAAATGTTGGTGAACGTTTTAATTGTACCAATAACTGTTTATGTGGATATGAGCTGTTTTTTCTCAACAAAGTTTTAAGATTTTACCTTTTCCTCGCCGATTAGCACTTCAACACACTTCAATTCATCACAAGCAACACTATTATCCTCCATTTTCACTAAAAATCTTTAAAAAAGCATAAATTTCCAACTCCCAATATTAATTCCATAGATTCGCTCAAGTAAACACACATTAAAGATTGAAATGTGAAGTGAAGTTGCAAACGTATCGCCCGCATGCCCCCCACGCTCGACTAACTTCACACCCAAAAGTCCAGCTTATGGTTCCATACTAATTGTTATATAAACAATCGTAGCTATATTTCATTATAGAATATTTTGCCACAGGTTAGAAAGGGAGCGATCGTCTTCTCAAAAGCCCGTTAAAAAGCTTACGCATGCGAGAGAGACGACTAATCGCTCAACTCAAGTTCTTTTTTATGACAGCAGTATCGCGCAGTAAAGCAATCTGCCAAGTGTTGATGTTACATAATAAGGCTACGAGGTCATGACCTGTGTAGAACAGAGGAGCGCGCGAGAAATTGGAAATAGTTTGAAACAGTTTAAGAGTTATTTTATTAGTTGGTATTATTGATTGAGCAGTTTGATATAGCAAGCCCGGCTCCTCGGCTTCTGTGGAGGTTTCGCTACCGGTAGATGTCACCTTTAAGTTTGGATTTTCATCATGCTATTCATGTGAATTCCTTCAATTTGTGATTCTATTCCAAGTAAATTTTGCTTCATCCATCCATAAATTACTTTTTAAAAATTGTTGATCGTTTTTAATCTTCCTATGAATCCACTCAGACAGGGCGCACCTTGGACGATTGCCTACACTTTCGTGAGAGTGCTGGACTCGCTGGTAATAGTATGGATACCCTCCTTTTTTTAAATTCGCCATACCTATGTCTTTCATAAACCGTGACGCAAAGCCAAGCATCTAAGCCAACAAATCGTTTATAACTGCCTCTTTTGAATTGTCAATTATTACAGCTTGTTGTTTACGGTGATCTTGTGTTAATCCAAGTCCGATATTAAATAACTTCCGGTGAACTTCTCGAAAATTTCGTGCTGACGGTAGTCTTCCCGTTGATGTATTCAGAACGAGCGACTGTTGTACGTCCACGTGACATTCCATAATAATAATGAATGTCAGCGAATTTTCGCGGAGGGAATTCGGTCAATCGCGGCATCTCAACAATTTACAAGAAATTAAAGTCAAAAACGTAACAAATAAGTCAATAACAAAAGAAAACCAAAATAAGGTAACAAAAACTAGCACAACATAGTAGGTGTGGTAACAGGTAGCAGCAGCGAGAATATCAGAGCAACTGACTAACACACTACCTAACAGTATATCCCTTTGTAAGTCGTATTTCGAACTCCTGTCCAGTCCCCTCCTTTTTACTCTTGCTACAACACACAAAAGGACACGTTCCGTCATACCAATTTTGTTGTTTTCACAATTTTAAAAATTTGTAGCCAGCGTGTTTTTTAAGTCACAGCGTAGATTTTTTGTTATTTTTGGTACACTGATTCTACATAAGATATAAAAGTCGTTCGTCAATAAAAAAATTATTTTTTTATTTTTGTTGATAATTTATGGTCTAGTTTCACCCTCTTTCGGGGTTGCAAATTACTGAGGGACACTGATACAGTATATCTAATATTATGTTTCAATGAAGTTTCATATTACGCATTGCAAGTATTGTATAAAATTTTGCCCATGTCGTACCCTGAATGAAGATGAAGTTAACAATTGAAATCGCATTTTAAAACCAGTTAAGGCGTTTATTGACAGTCAAACATAACTGTTGATTCGTTGTAACGTGTACAAGGTGTGTATTGTGTAATGTAATGTGTCAGGGCGTGTCGGAGGAGCGTCCGGGGCTGCTGGAAACGGCGCTGCGCGCGCGCGGACACTACCAGAAGCGCGCGTACGCGTGCGTGAAGCTGCTGGTGGGCGTGATGTGCCGCGCGCCCGCCGCCGTGCGCGCGCTGCACGCGCAGCCCGACGCGCGCCGCCGTTGGCGCCAGCTGCTCGCCTGGCTGCAGGACGAGCTCGACCGCGTGCGTACGCACACGTACACACACACACACACACACACACACACACACGAACACGCGCGCGCGCACGTGCACGCACACAGTGCTAACTCCACAAAAACTATTCTGCTTTAACCTATTGTCACTAATCTTAAAATTATTTTTACCACATGAAATTGTGTATATTTTTAACATACTCTATTATTATTAACAACAAAGTTTGAAAATATCAATCCATATTTTTCATTGGGAAGTGGGAAACCTGTAAAACTTAAATCATTATTTATCCGTAGATTTTGGCAATACTAGGATATGCTTATATTAGATGTTTTTTTGATAAAATCACACAAACACTCACGCCTGTCATCCAGAGGGGTAGGCAGAGACTACGGACTTCCATTTGGCGCGATCCTGACACACCTCTCGCCTCCTTTACATCCATATATCTACGCATACACGCTCGTCGGTTAAGGGTTTTTTTTATAGAACATGGGTGACAAGCACACAGTCCACCTGATGGTAAGTGATTGCTATGACCCATAGGTATCTACATCTATCTTCGATTACGAATAAAAATGCAGCAGAATGTCACCCGTGAGGACTAAGATGGAATGCCTCTTTTCCAGTAAAAAGGGTCTCCGGTTCTCTACACTCACCATACGAAACACAGTAGCGTTAAGCTGCTATTTTACACTGGTATTCTATGATAGCGTGGTCCTTCCCCAATCGAGCCAACCCATTCATGCTACAACCATAATATAGCTGCAGCATGGCTCTACCACGTAAAAAATTCTATTATTTACTCATAAATTATATTATTTTCTCCATATTGTATCCATTTTCATAATGCATCTACACACTGTTTGACTCACTATCGTCATTACAGACCATCAAAAGTGCACTGTTAAACATTACCCAGACCCATAGATTGCCTCATATTTGCCACACTTGGTAGACGGACTGATAACCGCAGTTTTTTTTGTTATTTTAAATCGTTAAAGTGCATATACATACAATTAATTTTTATCAAACTTTTAGCTTTTGAATGTAAAATACTTTTTAGGAATGGGGTCCTTAAAAAGAAGAAAATTTACACATGTACCAGAATCGAACTATATAGCGTAGTTCGCGCAGTGAATAGAATCAGTATCCAGTGCTTAATTAAGAATTTTGTTTCAGAAGTATGGTCCTGGCAGTTACGGTTCGTATGGTACGTGGTCACCGCCCGGCACTTCGAACGAAACATCTAGTGGCTATTTCTTAGAACGAAGTAATTCTGCTCGTAAAACACTTGAAAAGTAAGTGTAAATTGCATAATAATGTAATTCTATATGCATTTCATACTGTCGTGTCATACAAAATAGATGATAAACTGAATTTAAGAATGCATATAACATTTTATTATGTACTAGCTGTTCCCCGCGACTTCGCCCGCGTGTAATTTAGGGTTTTAATTATGTTGCGCGGAACCCTAATTCCTTTTTTTAAATATAAGAAGCCTAAGTTACTCCTTATGACATCAGCTATCTGCCAGTGAAAGTCCCGTCAAAATCGGTCCCCAGCCGTTTCGTAGATTAGCCGGAACAAACAAACAGAAAGACAGACAAAAAATTTAAAAAGTGTATTTTGTCATGAATAGCGTTTCTACTTTCATATGCATTTAGTAAAACGCTGTAATTTTGACATTATAAACAGATACTTCAATTTTATTTATTTGTATAGATATGAGGTTGAGGAAATTAATTTGTTTCTATGTTTTTGAGAACAGTTGCTGACTATTAATTAGTATGACAAGCTTAAAAAGCACTTGGTGAATACATTATTAATTATTATTGTATATGTGCACGGGACACTGCAGCAAAAACTTATTTGATCACACCATGCGGTTATCTTAGCACAGCTGTCTGCTATAATAAAGCTAATATTCTTGGTGTACAATTTTTTTAAATTTATGAATTTATGTCGTTATCACAAATAAAAATAGGCTTAACTGTTGTCCTATTCTGAAGGCTTTAGTTATCCATGGATTGCAGTAATCACTTATCAGATGAACTGTAAGTTCGTTTGTCACTTCAATTTTATTAAAAAAAAAATCATGATCTCTGTTGATGAATAATAATGTCGATCAGTGAATGATAATGTATCTGATCAAACTTTAATTTTTTGTCGCGTCAGCGTGTAATTAATATTCATTTAATAACGTGGTTGCAGTATAGGGATCGTATCAGTGTGATGACGGTGATAACATTCTTTAACAGAGCCTACCAGCTGTGTCCAGAGGAGGAGGACGAAGAGGAAGAGGCGCGTGAGACGGCGGAGGGGTCGGGGTCAGGCGAGGCGGGGGAGGGCAGTGGCGAGGAGGAGGACGCGGCCGAGGACGACGAGCAGCCCGCCAGACGCCTGCAGCTGGTGCAGCCCGCGCCCGGCGCCGTGCCGCCCGTCGCGCCCGCTCCCGCCCCCACGCCAGTCCCCGCGCCCGCCCCCGCTCCCTCGCCCCGCGACCCGCTGCCCGGCCTTTGAGCGCCCGAGCACCCGTCGTCGACCGCTCGCGCAACGTGCCTCTAGTCTGCCTCTACGTAACTATTTATTTTATCGCTACCCATTGTTTACAAAACGCAGGGTTCACCCGTCGCTGCTTAGAACTCTACTCTTAGGTTAAAACAAACTCTGCTGTATATATGCGTTAGCCGACGCTCTATAAATAGACTTATAAAGTGGATGAGCCAATATACAGTTATTTTTTTCATAACTAGTTTCAAATGTTTCTAATACAGTCATAACGTTCAGTCTAATGCTTAGTACGTTTAATCTCGAGCTATATCTGCTTATTCGTTATTATGTATATTCTTTATGTTTTTTCTTCTTATTGTTGTTTATAGCCAGAAGAAAATTGGCTCCTCTACTCTATTTGGACTATGCACATGCAACTTTTGTATCGAGTTTACTTTGTTATACATATAAAACAGCATTTTCATGACTTACACTGTTTATTGGTTTAAAAAATAGGTATTAAGATGTAAAATATACTTAAAAACTTGTTTTGTAACTGATTCAGTTCATGGTCAACGATATCCCGGCACACAGTCTACACATGGATATTGTTGATATAATTTTACTACACTACTGCGATAGTGTAGATAACTAAATAATAATTATGACCCGTTTATACAACATCAATTAAATCGGATGTTATTAATAACACATAGATTATAAAAATTATCTCTGAACATCGGTACTTTTGTATACATGGTAAATATAACGGAACAACAATATTACTCAATAATCTTAACAAATCCAATTTTTTTAAATAAAGGTGTTTTTGGCAGTGGACTCAAGTTTTGTCAACTGCTTACCATGTAGGTAATATCTTTACTGATATTCTTATATAAAATGAACTGAAATAATAAATGTGTCATGTTAATACTTAATATTACTATGCAAATGGTTTGTGTGTGCATATAGATGTCATCAGGCTAATCGGCAACGTTGGGTTTACGCTTAGCCGTAGTTTTGTTCTGTGATGTTAACGATATATGTAAAATTTATTTACGAGGGCATTTATAAATTAAGTTTTATATTAAAAAGTTAATTTCAGGCCCTGTATAATAACGATTGTTCTCGATGAAGCTTTGATACTGCCGCTGGGACGGCACTGCTTACCTTTGTTGACTTTAAAGCTTTATCGAGCCGATAGATTACTTTTGTTTAATTATTTATTAACTTAATGTTCCGCTTTAAAAGTACCATAGTATTTAAATTTTTTAATTAAGATTTATTCGTAACCTTATCCAATAAGAGAATTTATTTTCTATTTACGCATAGCATATTAAAGTTTATTGTATAATAAAATGTGGACTAATCACAGGTGTTGATTTCAAATGCGATTTAATACTGTACTGCATTCTATACAAAATTCATTATTTTACGTCACAAACCCAAACGAAAATTCAAGAACAGATTCATGAGTTTTTATAACTCATACAACTATTATAATAAAATTAATAATGCTTCTTAAAAACACTTTTTCTAGTAAAAGTTAAGCTTTTGTAAAATAAGTGACAGAAAATAAAAAATGTTTATGAATTGTGTTAACATTTTTTAACACCATTTTTAATAAAAATCAAAGTCTGCAACATGTTCACAATAAATTGTACCCTCAGTTTGATTTTATAAATAAGTACGCGATAAAATTATATTACTCTTGGAATAAAAAATAGACCGCAAAATATGTAAACAACACTTTCGTTTAGTTGTTTCGTTCACATAGCCAGTGTTATCCATATTAATTATAAAATTTTGCATGGTTTGCCTGTCTGCTCACAATGTCAGTTGTTTGATGAGAATTTAAAGAATTAATTCAATCGGCTGGACTATGTGGTAGTGTAACCTACAATAAAGTTTATCAGTTTAGCTAACTCCAATATATTATTTTATAAAAATAATTTAATAAAATGTTTCAATAATGTATTCTATGTATATAATATGTGAAGGAAGATCGCATTTACGTAACACCTGAGTTGTAGAAATGGTACATGTACAAATATTAATTGTAAATTATGTTGCTTAATCTTGAGGATTACAAAGCCTGTATTGTATGGTTTTCGACCAATTTTTCCCCTATTAAAATTGCTGTCACAGATGTGCTTAAAATATTTGATGGAAAAAGAAAAACACAAAAGCCAAAATTATTTTTAAACTCTTTGTAATTTGTTTTAATATAAATCTGAACTTTTACCATCTAAAACACTTGTTTTTAAAATAATCTCTGCTTATTATATATTTAATTTTGTTATTGCATTAAACTGGTTAAATCATTCTGTACATTTTTGTTTTAGTAACATTTTTCAGTAGGGACGAATACTTACTTCTCAACCGACTTCAAAAAAGGGGGAGGTTCTCAATTCGACTATTTTTTTTGTGTGTTACTTCAGAACTTTTTTCTAGGTGAGCCGATTTTGATTTCGGACTTCGACTACATTGATGATGTTCTCATTTCATTTATATTGAAGTCGGTTGTACAAAATTTTTAATTTTACCACTTGTTTTCTGACAGAGATCGCAATATCGACTTTATAGTTATTCTGCCAATTCTCATACATTTAAAAGTAAAAAAATAAAGTAAAATGATAAATAAATTACTAAAAATTTATAATAATTACTCAGTGTAGCGCTTTAAATTACAGGAATAAAACAACTCTTTCTAAAGATTTTATCCTAAAAGGCATCAAATCAGAGGGTCACTCAAAGTTTTGGTAATCGTGATCGTCCGAATCGTTATCAAACTTTTAGTTAAGTAGATGTGCTTCTAGACTGAAAAGAAAAAAAAGGTCAATAAGTTTTTTATTACAAAGTAAATGGATATATTTTTAAACATAATCTTAAAATAGTTATTACTTACCTTTTCTGTCAAATCGAAGAAAAAATCTTCGAAATACAACTGAGTTAAGAAACCAACATAAAGGAATATATTTTATGAAGGTTTATTTGCAAAAAAAAAACTAAAATGTCGCTACCACATTCACGACACGAAACTTCAAGGTACAGTCGATGAAAGTGCCATCTGCAATTACTTTTGCATTTTTCTCCCTATTGGTAGATTTAATATGATATGCGAAATCATTGTGCTAACGCAACTTTTCAAAAGTTAATTAATAGCTTCTTCGACCTCGGTCTTTCATTCTACAACTTCAATTCTTTATTTTAATTTGTTTTAAAATAGTTTCAGAATGCACAGTAACCTGTCATTCATTTACAATAATTAATTACAAAATACCATAGAAAAAAAGCGAATGGTTTATTTTATATATAGTATTTAACGAATAAACTATTTGTAAGGTGTCTTCATCATAGATCCATTGTGAAAAATTAAATTCTTTTATTCTGACAACTGCATATAGTTAAATATTGCTGGATGGAGCATTATTTTGGCCTAATACAAATAAGGCTTCATTTATTTAAAAAAAAATGTAGATATATTAGTTAATAGGAATTACTGACTAGTCTTACAGGAAATATTGCCACTTCATTCAATTTTCGGCGTTGTTATTGTAATGTGGTACGCTATTAATTTAAATATTTCTTTACGGTTGTAGTTTTCCTTTTTGCTTGAGATGGACTCCCCAGTTGTGGGGCTTCGCTCTTTCGCCACTCATGGGATGAACTGAGGCGCTGGATCCTCTTACACCGCTTCCACAAAGCATTATTCTAATAATTCAACTTTCCTTTATTTTCTAGTGATACAATTTCATTGAAGTTACAGGAAAAGAACTTGTTTTCTTAACAAAATTAGTTGTATTTAATATGAGAAAGCACTTTATTACACTATTGCAAAGCTTTGTATCATCACAATATAGTAAAAAGATTATGTTACATTTTATAAAACTATTAAAATATTTCATTGTATTATTAAAACTAATATAAGGTTGTAATACTTTTCTAATTAAAACCACCGCGATATTTTACTGTAGTGAGCACGTTGGTATTATATATATTATTATGACATAAGTTTTAAATATTGGTCGTATGGACCTTGTGCCTTATTTTAATTTTCTTTGCTCAATTTTCTGGTACCGGACAATGTGTGTATTTTCCTACTGAAATAAAATATTTGAATTTGTTATGAGAAACAAAAGCATTTTTACAATTTTTTTGCTAAATCAAAATGTTTCATTATGTTTTAATTGGTTGGTAAAACTGCGCTACAAGCTTTGAAGCTCGAATGAAGTTTGTATAGTAATATATATTATTAGTTTCATAAAGCCTGGTGCGTTAGCCGTTGATTGTTATTAACTTATTACCAAAGATGGGTTTGTAGGTTGAAGGAATTTTAGCGGCCCTTTTTCTTCATAGCTTAATTATAATTTTTGTATCTTTATATAATGCGAAATTAACAATGTTTTGTTATTGAAAATAAAATGTGATTGACCTTAGTATTAGATAGGAGAGATAGTAATGGTGTTAAAAATTAAACAAAATACAAACTGCCAAATACTGACAGATACCGACTTTATGTTTACGAGTTTCAAGACTTTGTAAATACCATTAGAAATATAATTGAGTCATTTAAATATTAACTGTTACGAATCAACCGCGTTTGGAACTCGTAAATAATCAAAAAGTTCGTGGACTAACATATTTAAGTAACATAAAGACATCAAAATTATATTTGGCATAAATATCATTTACAGATGTTTGTAAGATGTCTTTTGAAATCCACCGCATGCGTATTAGCCTGAACAGTGTAAAATTTAAATTATAAAATTATTGTAAGACCAGTTGAGTTTTATAAAACATTTCTATGATAAATGTGTAATGAATGACATTTTGAATAACGAATGCTCCAAAACCTGCATTCAAATGTATTATTAAAATCAAGAAATAAATTTATAAAAACTTAATCTCTTCAATTTTTATTTAATTAAAATCAAGGTTATTTAAAACATCAAATTATAACTATATATATTATTAAAATATTTATCGGTGTTGACTCTGGTGGCATTTTTGGAAACAAGAATCAGCTC